AAAGGACTTCCAATTTTGTGTTTGCCCATTTCCAGATAGGATCTCTAGTGAAATGCACAGCGAGCTCTGGTTCGTAAGAAGCCTCGAAATTCTATGGCAACGTATTTTATTATATGAGGAAATCTAAAATCGGTCTCGGTTTCCTCTCCCTGGAATGGCCGGGGCTGAATACCAGTTTTCTCACTCCTGGATTTTTGGCAAAGAAGAAGATAGGGTGTGGAGAAAACTTTGCATTGTGGTTTTTGAAAAGAGAAAGCAAGAGATGATTGATCGTGAAGAAGCATAACCTTGAAAGTGAGTGAATACCGAGCTACTTACAAAGGAAGGAGCTAAAGCCAGCCCTGAAATGCAAAGCTTTTTGATGAGCTGCCTGTACCGCTGCGAGATACTTGTACCAGAGTTCTATAAAATGAGATACGAAATTATTGAGAGGTAATAGCTAACACTGTTCGTCACAGCAGACTAGGGCAGGTTATTAATAATTACTTTCTATCTGGAAAGGTGCTGCTGTATGTCCTCACTCTGGCGTAGGTAGGGCAGTCGCAGTGGTTCTCTCCTGTGGTAGGAACAGATTTCATGTGAATTCTGATTTTGGGTGGTGAGAGACTGCGAAAGCAGTGGGTTGTGAAAATAGAAGTCATTATTTAATAAGCGTAAATTCACAAAATAATTTATTTGGAAAGAAATATGATTAAATGATTAAAGTGTGTAGATTTATGGGAAATAACGGAAGGATGAATAATGAAAAAGAATCATTAATATAAAGCCGCTTGGTAAAAGGGGGCATAATTGGAGTAATTTGGATTTTATTACACCAATACCAGGAATGTTACTAATTTTACAGAAAAGAGGGCTACTGGGAAGTAGTTATTCCACAAAGGAAGGTGCCCTGTTCACTAACTGCCATTTCCTAGCAGCACAGCTAAAAAGGTGAAGTGATTCAGGGGGAAGAACAGGGATGTGCACTGAGAACGGGGTTATATTTCCATTAAATGAATCAGTGAGGCAATGATTGAAATATCGTCATGATTTTTTGGTGTCTCTTCTTTAGTATCAGTACTGAGAAGGATTTCAGAAGCATTTGAAGTACATTAAATTAGAGAGGTGAGAGGTATGCTACAGCTTGCCAGAGAGAAAGTAATTTTCCTGTCTGCTATCAACAGAGAGCTGAGAAGCCTTGATTCCTTACAGGTGAAGCGTTAACACTTGATGCAGGAATCTTATTTTACCAAGGAATTCGCTCACCAATTTTGGTATTAGCCCCCCTTAGAGGCCCTCTATAGGAGAAGACATCCCCTCTTCACAGAGGCATGGAGCCGTGCCCGTGCCATTGCACACATCAGGCCTGATGAAGGAATGAAGCAAAGTAATCAAAGTGACCGGGACGTCCTCTTACACCCCGTGCCATCACGCCAGGTCCCACCAGCTCCTGGGCCCGTTGCCCACAGCAGAGCCTAGGGCAGAGGTGTGAGGAGGCCGCGCCACAGCGGCCTACCTCTGGGCTGCCTCTCCCTCTGCTCCCCTGGGGGCATTTTATTTCATGCTACCAAAAGCAGGTTAACAAGACGGGGATGTTTATGCACAGCCTTCCTCATAATTTTGTTTGTTTGCGAGCTTAGAGGTGTTTTGCTGTTGTTAGGCGTGGTGTTTTGGTACTGGGAGGGGGTTTCTGTCTTCATAGCTTCAGAGGAGGGCCGCCGATAGAAAGGAGAGCAAAGCTAGTGGAAGAAAGGAGCAAAGTGCAGCCATTTCTTAACACTTCCAAAATTCAGTGTTGGCAGCAGTCGTAAACCCACTGTAGCTCTGTGCAGATCTCACCTGTTAACTACTTTGTCAAAAATGCCCTTCCACAGACGCTGCCGTGGCAATGTTCAAAATGGTCGAACTCCAGCAGTAAATGGCTTGGCTCGGTGCGCAGGAGCTGTTACTCTTTATAGCTCTGTCAGATTCCCAGAAGCTGAAGATGAGTGAAGGAAACGGCTTGTGTTGTTCAGAGACGCACGATGTTGCTCATTTTCTCCTGGGCAGAAAATACTGAATAAATCAGATGGTGGACGCTGTGCCCCCGGTCAGATGCAATACGTCCCCATGAAGGAATGAGCCAGCTCCCTCCCAGTTTGTGCTTCCAGGAGCCATCTCTGGAAAAAGCAGAGACGTGCTGCAGGGTAGAGCCTGCCAGAGCACATACTCGCTATCAGGCAGCTTGAGATTGTGTTATTTTTCAGCATTTCTTTAGAATAAATCTGGGGGAAGGGAGTTATTATAAAAAGGAGACTGGCAGGAGGGGAAAAGAAGGACAAGCTTTATCTTTATTACTGGCATTTCGTAGCACTTTCTTCATTGTAATGTCATGAGATGAATTGTGCAGCAGCACACCCCAAAACTTGCACCGTTTGCTGTATCTCGCAGAAAATAGCAGCTCCTTCGTTGCTGGCTTATTTGTTTCGTACTGTTGAGTTACCTAATTGATGTAAACATGCTGCACAGTGATGCGAATGTTCTTCCTGCTGCACCCTGTTTGTATGGAAGATGACAGTGTGGCTGGGAGAGCTCGCTGGGTATGTAAAAGAAGGAAAATTACACCTCTTGTGTGATATGTTTTAGTTGCATCAATAGAGCTCTGTTGAATTAATAGCCCATTTTTATACCAGTACAAATTCAGACTTACCAGGAGTTGCTTCAGGAAGTGTCACAGAATTGCAAGCAATCCCAAACATGCAGTTTCCCTATCGTAAGAGCTATTCAATGACCAAGTATTAGGTAGGTAATATTAGTAAAGTTCAATTAAGATTTCTGAACCTCCTAATTCTCAAAACCTTTTTCACTTATTTACTTTCCTGAAACACCAGTCCTTCAAGTAAGTAGCATTTGTTAGCCCAGAGTGCTCGGAGCAGCCCTGCCAGTGTCTGAATGCTGGGGACACTTCTCGAGTAGCGCTGGGTGTTTGGTGGGCACGGTGGGGCTGGGGAGCATGAGGAGGGGGCGAGGGAGGCTCTGTGGTCACCCGGTGCCCCCTCGGCCAGCTTGGAGCCTGGCACTGGCCACCCGTGGGGCAGAGCTGCTCCCCCAGAGCAGGTCTCTGTTGTGGCAGCCCCATGGCCTTGGTGCTTTTTCCTTGGTGCGGAGCTCAAACCGGAGATGATTTTACTTCTGTGCAATGCGTTGACAAAGTAATTCTGCCGTGCAACACAGTAAAATGGGAGAAAAGCATTAAGGAATGCCTCCTTAAAAGTACAAAAAAACAAAGAAAATGTGTGTGCTTAAAAAAAAGAGAAAAGAAAAGGGAATCATGGTGGCAAAATAATCCTGCTGCTTTAAGGTAGCGTTTAAAAATAGAAGTAGAAAACTTAATGCTCTAGCTTTTAGCCCAGTAAACATACAATTGTAAGCTGATTGCGGTGAATTCTTTACATGACAACCCCCATCAGCATAAGGTTTAGAGACAGCCCAACATCTGGAAGCCAGCAGCAGCCCAGGGTTTTACGAAGCGCTGCCGCCAAGTAGGATCCGAGGGCTGCTGTAACCGATGTAAAATGAAGGTCGGGTCCCATGCAGCACCTCGGGCACGGGGCCCACACGAATGCAGGTTTCTGCACAGGCTGGGCAAGTGCTGAGCGGTGTGAGATACTGGGGAAATAAACAAAGAAGCTGAAAAACTGCTATTAGTATGTCTAACTTATTTGTATTGGAAAGCTTACAGACAAAGTCCTGTCTGGATTACGTGTCACGGGCAGAAAAACGTTTATAGAATCTCTCCAAAGAAAGTTGCAAGAGAGTGACCTTTATCGTAATGTCAGCTGTTACTTGAACAGAAACATGCTGTCTCCCAAGGGCTGGAGCTTGTGTCCAGCTTTTGTCCTATAGAAGGAGGCAACCAGACGCAGTAGATCATCTTGTGTATGAGTGGTTTTGGGCATCTAAAGCCAGGAGGTTTGCTGACCCAGATGCAGGACCCAGGAGCCAGCGCAGGAGCGTCTCCTCCAAGGCCAGGCAGGGAGGGACTGGCTTCAGAATCGCGTGGGGCAACAGCCTGGGACCCCAAAATAAGGAGCACTGCCTGGTTCGGGGAGCTGGTTCCCCCACGCTTTTCGGAGTGTGGCAGTGCCTGTCCGTGCCAGGTGGGAGATTTCCCACAGAGCAGCAATAAAACTGTCTCATTTCAATTCAGGAAGGAGCGTGGTGAGCAGCTCCTTCTCCATCTTTGTGCCTAGGAATAGCCCAGAATATTATAATGCAAACTATCAAGGAAGTGAAGTAGGGAATATTCTGAACCAAACTCAGATCCTCATTTTTTGAACAGATTTTTGGTACGGATCAGCTTGATACACCACGGTATTTACCAGCCTGGCCTTTAATACAGGATCTGGCTTCCAATTATGCTTCACTTCATGCAACAGTTGCAGAGAGTGCGTGTGGGCGTATGAGAGATTGAGTTTGTTCTTTAGAAATGTGAAGTCTGCACTGACTATGAAAACCCATCAGAATTTCTAGCACTTAAACGCCATTTCCTTTTGCAATGTGCTACCAGCATTAAGCGAGCTTCACAACAGCTCTGTGAGAAATGGAGAGTGCAAGTGGAGGAAGACATGCTGGTTTTCAGAGGTAGAATATCAATCCAGACATTATTGAGAAATGTAAATCTTTTCCAGAAGCAAAGAGTTGATGTCCGATCTCAAATTACAGCTTGGAAGCGAATGCCTAAAGTCTTAGGTCTTTTTTCAAAAGTACATGAGTGAAAATGGAATAAAGTACATGTCAGGCATGTGGGTTCGAGTAGTCTCTTGAATCTGGGGCAGCAGGTGTCAGGCAATCCTGGTCGCCACCACTTCACCCAGAATGTCTTTATATTCCTGGTGGTTGTTCCCAGATGCTTCTCCTTTAGTGCTGTGCTCTTGAGCTTTGCTAGCGCTATGCTAGCTACTGTATATCGTATCCAAGAAGTCCAAAGGAGTGTTATTTTTGTCTTTCTGCAATTCTCAATGTTTATGTCTCTCCTCTAGGTTTGAAGACCTATCTGATCTCCGGTCAGAAGGTGAAGGAACCCCAGTGCAGCTGTTCACAAGCCCTGCTTCCTGGCTTGGAGTCTGGAGATGGAGCCAGGATACAGGCAACATCGTCGTCTGAGAACGCCAGCGACTTGACAAAGACTCTCAAACACGTGGAAAAACCTAAGGTAAAATGCCTAGTCCCATTGACAAGCAATCTCTAAAGTAAGGTGAATGTTTTTTAAAGGTGGTTTCAGATAAATTATTTTCTTATTATTTGTATTTTGTGACCAAGAGGTCAACACTGCTTTTTCAATAGTCTTGATTTTATTGGGGAGAAAGAATCTCTGCCTCCTGCAGCTACTATAACTTTTATGATTTTCTGTTTGCTGCAGCCTGCTTCTGTCTTCCCTCTATCTCTCATGCTGTGCACCTGTGAACCTTTTTATATGAGCATATAACAGACATCTCCACAGAAAGACAGCAGGATTGTTTGAGTGGTAGGAGAAAGCGCTTTGGTAGGCTACAAGACTGTGTTTTATCTGCTTGCTCTAGAAACCTAGAGGGCAACGATTTGTATGGAGAAACAGCTTAGAGAAATGATGACATTTTGTTATGTTCACACCTCTCACGAGAACTCTTGACAAGGAAATCTGTGAAACAATGTGTATTACTTTGAAGCTTTGCTGTTACTCTCAATCTTCCAGCTCAGAACAGATTTCCCAAACAACAGATGTCTATTCTCTGTTTTCATTTGCGCTGTGAGTTCCTCATGGTGGGTTGCCTGAGTTGGCCACTAATGCCAGGCCCGTGGGTGGCTGTCTGCAGGTCGCTGTCCTTAGACTCAGTGAATTTGGTCCTGGGAAGAGCTCTTTATATTTAGCTGGTAGAGCAAGTGACTTTCATGGCATGCTGTCTGGATCAGCAGAGCGTGGTTCAGGCACCTCTACCCTGCTTCTGTGCTTGGTTTTAGTTTTGCAGTAAAAATATGTGATCACAGTGTGATAAACTGGAAGGCTGGTCTGCAGATAAGGACCAAAGTTAAGCGATTTCCTTACAGAGCAAGCTGGGGCTGTGTAACTACAGAAGGTAGCATAGCCATCGTTGTCCTTCCCAGAATATGCAGTGTGAGGTTTGGCTGGTCTCAAGTTGTTGGTAACACCTTTCTATTCCTACTGCTGTGTAAGTAAGAACGGGATGGCATATTTGGCATCCCTCGGGCACCAGCTTGCCAGCTCTCTCTCATCTTTCAATGAAGGGACTCACAAAAAATGTAGGAGAACACAGCGCAGGGCTGTCAGTGGATGCCTGTACAAATGAGTCTGTGCTGCCCAGCGCAAGGCCACACAGAGATACTGCTGAGGCCAGAAGGGGTAGGAGCTTATGTGTTTCAAGTAGTGAGGAGAGAAAACGAGGATGCCTTGTTAACCTGATGGGTTAGGTTGGACTAGATGGTCCCCAGAGGTCCCTTCCACCTCGGAACCTCGACTGTTCTGTGATTTTGGGACAGCAAAGTAAGCTTTAACCGCAGGGCAGCAAAACTACAGCAAGATGATCTTGGGGGTCTTTTCCAACCTGAATGATTCTGTGGTTCTAACACTGATCTGCTGTCATGTGGGTAGGCACTTACTTCTCTACGTGTTTTCTGAAACAAGAGTGTGACTTACTCAGCAGAAGTGTGCATCACTTCCTAAACAGCTAGCGTGCCACGTTCGGATGTGCTGCTGGCCCGCGCTCTGTTTGCTGCTCATCACCTCCCTGCCTCTGGTCTGGGGCCGTCCTGGCTGGGTGTTAATTGCTGTTTAAATGCTTACACTGTTCTTCACCGCACAGAAGTGCAAACATGGCTATCCAGATAAGTGAAGGAGAAGCTCACACTGTCTGTCCAAGAAGAGAAGCTGCTTCAGAAGAGCGTCTAGGACAAGTGCCAGCTTAGTTTCAGCCTTTTCAGACACCCTGTCTACAGTGGTGCTAAAGCTACTGCATCGAGTTTATGCTTATAGGTACCTGTTTCTGTTCATTACCACGAGCACTGGAGGTCTCCTGAGGGATTTTGCAAATGGCCAGACACCACCTTGAAAATACTGTGCCTGATTGCCCAAAACAGATTGATGCTGCAGTGAATTTTGAACAGCCCCAAACTCCTCTTCCTCTGTGGTCTGATAAGTATCCATATAACGCATGCCCCAAAATATGGCAGAATGTGTACAGCACAGTGATAAAGCAATCACGTGAAGACTCAGCACTTATTTAAAAATGCTCTGCTGCCCTAGTTGCAGTATAGGAGTGCAAGGTGCTCTTGCTTCTCGCAGCAGGGCTAGGTGCAGGTACTCCAAGCTCTGCAGCACGCTCTCAAGTGTGGATGTGCGCTCTGGGTAGTCTGATATGGCAGACTGTGGACCGAGAGGGTTGGGTCAAGCATTCAGGAAATCTGTAATTAGCCAGCCATGCTAGAACAGGTCTTACGATATTAAAAATAATAATAATAATAATAAATTAGAATATATTTTTAAAATCCTCACAAAGAACAGATGTGCAATTTAATCACAGATCATGCACAGTTTCTGAAAAGGAGTGGGTTTCTTTTATACGGTGTTTTTCTTTTAAAGCCTGCAGCTTGCTGGTAGGGTCTGGAGTGATAATTTGCAGAAGAATCATGACTTACATGCCAACTGTTTTAAATACAAAGCTGTAAACAGTGTCAGTGTGGGAGGAGATGACTCCAACTCTGCAAAAGAGACTAAGTAGGAGGGGCAAAATTGTAGGCAAGCTGAAATATTTTTGTTCCAAAGGGAATAAGTGGCCATATTGCATGAAAAGGATGACTTTCACCTTTTGGGCTTGAACGGATGTTCTAGTGGACAAGGTCTGTTAAGGAAGGTCAGGAAGGAAAGTGCAACAGTAATTGATCCACGAAAGGGATTGTATTTCCTCCTCTCCTCCACTATGTCTGCATTTAATTTGATTGCAAATCTCACTGCAGCATGGATATCAATAAAAGGCATTTCAGGTCATGAAGTGGGTATGTAACTAAAACACCGAGGAAGGATGCTGAAAACATTAAGTAGCAGCTGATTTTTGTATGAAAACGCTGTAACTTGCTTAGCCATTTTTGGTATTGGTTTATTTTATCTATCACGTATTCTGAAATCCCATACTTGACTGAGAATTATAGGCTTTTTGTAAAAAAATGTCATTATCAACTCAGTATGAAAACAGAAAGTACTTCTGCTTGTTTTGGTGTTTGCTGAAAGTGCGTTAATGCATTATTCATCGTGGCTGGCCACAAACGCACGGAGCTTGTGTGAGTGTCTGCAGCAGAGAATTAAGTTTATGATATTGACTTGAACGCATGGGTCAGATAACCTCCCATCTCTTTTCAAAAAGACAGGCTTCTTTTCTGAGATTTTTGTCTTCTGCTTTAACCCTAGGAGCTAAGCATGTGATTTGGTCCTGCTGGTTTATTAGCAAGGTCAAATGGGGAGTATTTTCTTTATTTTTGGTGTTTGAGGTATTTGATTTTTATTATCAAATATATATTTGATATATATAAATCAAATATATATTTGATTTTTATTATCAAATATACCGTTAACTGACTTCTGCTATGCTCAAGTCTACTAGCTATCATTCTGGGAACACAGAAAGCTCGTTAGTCCTTGGTCATGTTCAATTTTAAAGCCATTTAATAATGCTTTCTGCAAAGTGGTTAAGGCATTCATGATACTTGATATTTTTTTTAAACAAAACCATTTAGGAAACAACTTCATTCTTTTTTCCAGTATGCTGTTTCTTGGTCAGGCTGTAGCGCTTCAGAATTGGATGAAACTTGCTCACCCGTTGCCAGATTAAGGAGCTTGTAGGTAATTTGAGTGCCTCAGCCCAGCCCGTGCTCCCGAGGAGCCTTGGGTGTGATGGTCACGGTCTGCTGGCTGCTAAGAAGGCTCAGAGCCTTCATGACAGCCTTTGAGAGACATACATGGTTGAACGATGGGTGGAGCAGCAGCCCCAGGAAGAAGTGCCACACCATAACAACCTTCAAAATCAAGACTTCTGAATCTTTTTTGAAATTCAGGTGTGACAAGAGACAGGAAAAGGGGCACTGGGTGAAAATTCAATTCTGAAAAGAGAAACATGCTGGTCTTTGAAATAGGGAGCAAACCTGAAGGGAGAAGCTGTTGTGTTTTTGGACCAGCTGTTGCATTTTGGATGGAAGCTTGCACCAGTCCCTCCTGAGCTCAAAATAAATAGATAAAAGGGACATGGGGTGTTGACTTTGGGATGAAATGTTCAAGTGGCTTGTTGGAAATTTCAACAAGTTCTTTTGTGGATAACCCACCAACACGTAGTGTAGCGTGCTGAATTTAGCATGCTGTTTCCAGTGACTGGTGTATCTGTATTAGTAGTCTTCTGGCAAGCCTGGTAACAACAAACTGTCTCTGAAGAACATAGGAATTGTCAACAGGGATCAGATATAGGGTCCCTCTCGTGCAGTATCCTGTCCCTACATGGTGAGTACAAGAGAAAAGTTTGAAGGACTTTGCAAAAGAAGATGCAGGGTTAATTAGAGAAGATCTCATTTTAATTCAGTGGGACAGGTTGTTTTAAAAGCTGAACTGTGACCTTTTATGTTGCTTCCAAAATAGGTAACCTGTAACTATTAGGAGTGTTGATGGTTTTGCTTTCCTTGTTTCCTGTGATGTTTGCTCAGTGTTTGACTTCAACAGTATAACACAGCCACAGCTCCAGTCCCCTGTCTTACAGAGCTGTATGAAAAAGTATTCTCCTTTATTATTTTCAGATTTGTTACTTTCCATTTTTCTGTGCTGTTTGTAACAGACCATGGTGTTTTGTGCTTTCTGAATATGCTGCATTCTGTGCTAAGTCCTCCCTCAGCTGGTCATAATGCCATTCAGATCCTTTTGCAGACCCTTTTCAAACAAGAAAATTGCACTTCTCTCGCTGAAGAATATTTCTTTCTTTTTAGGGTACTCCTTTACCAGAGAGTAGTGATTACAGAATATCTGTGATTTTACACCAGTAAATCTTTCCTGGATTAGATTTAGCTTTAGTAAGCAAAAAATCTATGGTTTGTTTTTGAAATGGTGGATTTTGGTCCTTTCAAATTTTGCTCCCTGTTTCCCTTTCTGTTGCTTTGTTTATCTTTTAACCATGCAGCAAGCATACAAGCAGGCCACATTATAAATTGCACACCATTACGAGGACACCAGAATGTTCCTGGCTAAATTTTTTTTGTCTCATTGCAGCCTTGCCCTTCATGTAGTACCACCCTTGCACCCCACTGCGATGTCAGCATAGATGAAGGAGCTATCCAAAATGGTTGTCAGGATGAGCATAAAAACAGTACAAAGGTAATTTGAGTATTTATCACTTCCCTTCTTTCCCCTTATTTCTCTGCTTCAGTTAGCTTTCTCAGTTTTGCACAGCTATTACTTTATTCAAGCTCTTAAGCAGCAGAACCAATTTTGAGCAGTTGTATTCCAAACTTTAGTTGCCCCCCCCCGCACACCCCAAATTTTCAAAACAATTAGTAATTTTATGGGCCAGTTTGAGAAGGACCTAAAAGTTGGGCTCTTTAAATTAATGCTGAGGCCAGCCAATGAAAGAGGCACAAACAACACTACCAGCATCTCCATCGCTTACGCCAGTCGCCGTGTGTCATCTAGCCACAAGTCACACACCTGTGTCTTGCCATTGTCTCCTGTATCGTAGCTCTAAAACACGGTCATTTCTGTTCATGCCCACAGCTGATATGCACAGCACCTGAGTCCATTCACATCCTTTTTCTGACAAATAGAGCATCTTACATATTCAGCGTGCTGCTGCCAGGGTTGTTTTCCTTGCTTGTTGCTTAGATATTCTTACCGAAGCCACCTACTCTCTCTACAGTACCAGACATGGCCTATTTGTTGTCTTGTTTGTGCCCTTTGTAGCCTCCCTGCTCTGCCTGTCATCTCTTCCCTCTTTCCAGAAAATTAAGCTTCCACCTAAATGCAGACTGGATGCCAGAGCTCATCAGCTCTCTGGTATATTTTCAGATAAGTTTTAATCCTTTTCCTCACTGGGGAGATCACTTTATAACTATTCTCAGAGATAGCTATCTGGTTGTTTTCCTCCTCATCTGTCTGTAGAACTCTTCTGGTGTACAGAGCTAACAAAAAAACTTGCCAGCATTTTTGTAAATGGTATGTAGCACAGTAGGCCATGTTCTGTGCTGGGGTTCCTAGGAAACAGCCTAAGAAAAAAAAATACTAATCTCTTCAACTCTCAGGAAGATAGAGCAGGGTGGCCAGTAGGTACTGGTCTCAGAACAGCATGAGATCTTCGAGACAGAAAACATTGTGGGAGATCTTCCCAGATGGTGAGCATGAGATGCTGCTTCCCAGGCTGCTTCTGCCCACGTGCCAGGGGTCTCCAGGAACAGACTGCAAACAGAGATTTTCCTCCCAGTACCAACCACCTGTTATCATATATTGTCTTCATCAGAATTATTCTTCCTACTGCAGCTATCTTAGCCTCATGTATGTTAATCACGTGGGGGATGAACCTTGCTTGGAAGAGGCCTGTCCAGTGCTGAAAAAATACCAGTAACGTCATTGGAAGAAATAAGCTGGTGGAAACCAGATCATATGTCCCTCATGTATTCACAAGTTGCTGCCCCAAAAACTGGACCAGCTAAGTGGCTATCCAGTGAGTCTGGGATGCCCATTTAAATGAAAGCTTAAACAGGTACATGCACAATGCTGCATGGCATTTGATTTCCAGATCTTCTTTGTAGTCTCAGCTTTCTTAGGAAGAGCCATCAGCTCCCTCTGCTCACCTCTGTTCTCTCCCCACACTGTCACTGCACCTGGCCCTGCAGCATTCATGTCCCCTCCCTGTTCTCTCATCTCCCAAAACGCTGTTAACCACCTCCTTGGACCCCAGTGTCCTTTGGAGCCCCCAAGTCTCTTTGTGAGGGGAGCGGTCCCCTGGTGCATCATATCTCCAAGTGCTCGGGAGAACTGCACGGCCTATGGCTGCCAGAACCCACAGTAGCATGGAGCTAACAGCATTTATTAAACAGGGATTTTCTCCTTACAAGCAAGCAGTTTCAAACTCTAATCCCCTCCTGTTAAGATTAACAGAGTGGAGACAGCACAGGAAAACCTTGAGCTGACCAAAGGGAAGAATTTTCTTAGGGATTTGAGCCTTTGCCAAAGAGCTGAAGAGAAAAGGCCAAGAGAAGTCCATGCTGACCTTCTGTGAAAGAGCAGAAATTTTCACTGCATTCTTCAGATGAACTCGAAGAACAGACAGGGAAAGCAAACAGTACACATATCTTTTCTCTGAGCTGCCCAGACAAGAAAAGCTGTGTTTCCTCCTTTACTGCTTTTCAAGTAAAGCAGGGTGAGGAAAAGGAGAAAGATTCTTTACAGAGAAAAGGGTGATAACTGTGACCTTCATTTTTCTAGGCCTCAATTTTTTTTTTTCTGCAAAGTGCTCTCAGCAAATACAATCTTTAGCACTAAAAAAACAAACAGCAGCAATGAAGAACCTTCACTTCAGGCGCTTGTTTGACAGTTCTCCTTGCCTCGGGAGCAGCGGTTGCTCCGGCCAGCACTGCTCTGCCCTCTGCTCCTCCGGGCGGGCTGGGTGACCTGCTCTGGCTGCTTTAGGGCATGTTTGGAAGCTGTTGAATGCTGTCCCGTAGAAAAGATGCTGGAGACCTTTGGTGGTGACCAGGAGAGTGCTCTTCTGTCACTCACAAGTGCCTGTCCAGTCCAAGAGATACGTGTTGCTGAAATCACCTTTCTCTTCTGTTGCTTACGTTCCTTAGCAAAACATTGGCAGCACACCAAGGTAACTACTAAATTTCCCTATTATACTTCATCAGCTGCTGTCGCTGTACCATGAACACCTGCAAGCTGCCAAAACAGCTGTCTTGAGTCACAGTAGGGACAAGGCTGGGAATCCTGTCCTCTCCGTGCTCCACTCCTCCTGCTGGGCAGCCAGTGCAGAGGAGTCCTGTGTCCTGCCAGGGCAGGGGGAAAGGGAAGAGCAGAGCACTCTGCCTCCTTCCTGCCTTTCCTCCTGTTTGCTATGGCTGTGGGGCAGAGCAGGTCTTCCTTTCACTATGGAAGTTTTGATGGGGATGGGGAGCCGAGCCCAAGTGCCTTCTGACTCTTCCCTGCTCAAGGTGATGTTCTGCTGCTGCTGCTGTCTCATGTCTTCGCTGGTAATTATTTGTGAAAGCAGTGATGCATGAAAGTTTTTAACATGCCCAGTGTTTGTGTTTTTATGTTTGTTCAACTAGAAAATGGATACCAGAAATGCTTATGTTAGAAAAATGCTTCTTTTTTGTTGTAACATCTTCCTGTTAAAAACTAGGAAATAATATATTAAGTGGTCTGTGCACCTTCAGTTATACCTGCCTGTGTTCACGTTCCTCATTTGTTTTACAGCCTAGAGACACAAGGAGATGCAATTAATTTTGCACAGGCAGCTAGAAATCTGGTATTTCTCAGCCTTAGCTAAGTTGATTTTACAATCTAAGGAACATATTTCAGTGCGTGATTGGGTGGTGTGATATTTATGGTCACTGCAGTGGCATCCAAGAATAGTCCTCTGGAGGAGCTAGTCACTGCTGTGCTGACTGCTGTACAGGCAGAAATGAAGAAACTTCTGTCATGAGTGGGTTTCAGGATGAAGATGAATGATAAATGATAAGACGTGGAGGGAGGAGATGAACATTCAAATATGCAAAGTTTTGATACATGTTTGTATTTGAAAATTGTAAAATGATCCTGACTAACTGCAGCTCACTTTCATTCTAGCTGTATTTAGTTGTCTAATTCCTTGGACTTGCTTCAGTGCACATTGGTCTAGATCAAACAAAATGTAAAGGAAGAACTTCATGTTCCATGAAAATAGAATCATTTTTGGTTCAAACTTATTTTTATTCCGAAATGAATGACAGCAGAATTGCTGATACTGTGCACTTCAACTGTACTGCAAGCTGGTGTCAAAATTTAAAAGTACATTATTAACGGTAAAAGAACTATATCTTAGTGAGGAAAATGTGGTTTCAGTTGCAGAATATTTTTGTAGGATAATAAGCTGTACAAAAGGTCTGTTCAGATATGGCTGTTCCGTCTTTCTGGGAAAGCAGTGAGGCTACAGTGGACAGTGGCAGGATCAGCAAGGCTGGCAGAGTTAATTGTCTCACGACCTGTGGAAAGATAGTACAGTTAATGCAGGTATTTAAAAAGATTTTGAGAAGAATCTTGACCTGAAGATGAGTGAATGAAGTTTTGGTCTATCATTGGTCCTCACTGCATGCGTGAAAATGTAATTTGCTTTCTGATGCCTTGGAAACAGGGACATAAAAAGCAAAAAGACAACAACACCTAAAGAGGCGTGCGCTTCTAGCAGACATGAATGATTTCAAGGCAGGTGGAGGTAGGTCTTTGACATGATCACATAACAGTTCAGCGTGCTGAGGGAAGAATTTTTGACTTTTGCTCCATTAAATCTCTCCTGTCTGCTTTCTCAACCATTCATGTTCCCTGTGTATCTTTTGCTTTCTGTCATGCAGGCTCCAGGAGGCCATAGTCCAAAGACTCAGAATGGACTTTTGAGTCCTCCACAAGAAGAAAAGCTGAGCAACAGTCAAACCTCGCTTTACGAAATGTTGCAAGAGAAAGGAAGATGGGGGGGCGTGAGTCTGGATCAATCAGCTCTCCTTCCTTTGAGGTTCAAAAACATCAGAGAAAAGACAGATGCTCACTTTGTCGATGTGATTAAAGAAGACAGGTAAGGAAAATGGAGCTGCACAAAGAAAAGGTATATAAAGGAAGAAAAGGCATTAACAGAGGTCCCGTATCTGTAATCAGCATTTGTGTGCTTTTTGTTTCATGTCAATAATTATTGTAAACATACTATAACATGCTGTATGTTTTCTGATCTTAGTCTGTCTTCTGTTTAACCTATAGTAGGAACTTGAACTCAAAAACATTCTGCTCAGGAATATGTAAAGCCAGGTTTTTCATCATTTTTTTCTGTGGTTAACAGACATTCTTCATTCAAGCCTTTGAAAAGGAAAAACACTCTTTCAGTGACTTGTTAAAGAGTTGAACTCTTTCATTTTTACATTCAGAACTCCTCATAATACACATATTATGTACCTTCATCTGCAACTGAAACTGTAATATATAATCTGAACCACAAAACTCAAATTTTTGTATTGCAAGAGAACAACATCTGATAATATTGCATGACTAATACCTAGAAATCACATTTGACTTGGAAGCAGAATTAATAGGAGTGAATTCTCATTCTACCTACAGCGTTTTGTAAAGTTAGCCTCTCTCCCCATTTCATACAAAAAGACTTGTTTTGGGCAGAGGCAAATATGTTCTTCAGAATTCGACACTGTTTGATTTTGTAAACACACAGCCGTATCTCCCTTATTATGGCAGTGATTTGACTGGATCAGCTAAACAGACAACTTAGTTTTGTTATTATTTATGGCTATTCTTATTTTTGCTTCACTGCTTCCACTGAGATTAGGGACATTTTATCTAAATATCCTTGAAACTGTATGCTCGTATATACTCCAGGCTGTTTGGAACAGGGACAGCGTTGTCTTAACTGGAAACATGACCAAAGCAGGGAGAAGTGAGAGAGGGGGACAAAAGTCCTTCTCCAGCCTCTTCTTCTCTTGTTCTTTTTCGTTTTGTTTTTGTTTGTTGGTTGGTATTTTTTTGTTGTTGTTATTGTGTTTTGTTTTTTTTCAGATTGCCTTTCTCCTGGGGCCAACCTCTGTAAAAATTTAGGTTCCTTTTTGTGTGTGTTCTGTCATTAGTGGCTGAGAACAGGTGTTAAGCTGATACTTCAAAATATTAGAAGACAGAATGATTGTGAAAGTCCAAATGTTTGCAGAAATCGGGAAAAACAAATTGGATTTTTGTTTAAAATGTAACCAGCATCCTGCAAATTTTAAGTTACAGAAGCAGCTTAATTTATGCCAGTGGACTGCTAGATACCCACCTCCAGCTCTTGTATTCATGGAACTTTCCTCCTCCACATACAAAATGGATACTTCTTCAGAAAAAGGAAAAAGTGGGACCATGATGTGACATCAGTCAAAGCCTAGCTTTTTTTTTTTTTCTCAATTAAATATCATCATTACCATGTTAAGTGGGCCATTTCTTGTTGCCAGGGAAACTTCTCTGCTGAGTTCGGTTCATGTAAACATAACTTTCCAAAAATAATCTCCTGATTAATTAGGTCTATTCAAAATGGTTTAAGCCTACCGTTTTATATCAATCCTTTTTAACATTTCTTAGTGTTAAGTTATAGGTAATGAGTCATTTAAGAAACATGTTTGATCCCCTACTGTAAAACCTAATACATTGTTGGTCTCAAATTTAGTATCGATGAGGACGGTTGAATGGGAAATCTGAGTTTTCTCAGCGAGTGGGGTGAAATCCAAACTTCCACTTGGTCATCTTACATGAAGATTCACATCATTCACAGTAATAATTACTGGACTGTTGCTGCTTTGCTTTCATGTTACTGCAAACCCAACAGCAGTGAGTGAGAGCTTCTCTTCATATTGGGTAGCGACTTGCACCATGTTGCATGATGCAGGTGTTCTGATCTGCAATGTAAATTAGGCATCACATTCACAGATGTCTAACCTAGATATGGTGATTAGGTGTTTAAATTAATCATGCAGGCTTCCTGTACAGCTGGGAAGAGTTAAACATATCCTAGGGACGATTCAGGAGCCTGCGCACTGCACAGCTGCCTAGGGCTGGGTGTGAGAAAGTGTTGGACGCTGGTGGTGTTTCTCATGCCCCAGCCTCTTCTGGAGTTCAGGTGTGTGTCTGAGAGTTTCACAACCAGCTGCTGGGCTCTTCATGTGCCCAGATTTTGCCTTGGAGTTGTTATCTCAGCACAGTTCCAGTCATTTTTAAAAACAATAGCAATAAGGCCAGTGTTAGTGTAGCATTTTTCTATTATTGCGTTACACAGGAATCCTTTCCATATAAGTTACTGGCTTGCCTTTTCTTAGAAATTGATTATAAGTATTTCACACAGTGCATACTTTGAGCTTTAACTCTGGCTTTACTACAACCACTATAAAAATACCATGCTTTGTTCATTGCAATCTGCATGCTACCATGTATTGTAGAAGAAAACTGTAGTATAAGAGGTAGTAAGAGTAGTAAGTGGGTCTTGTTGTTCCTTGAGAGCATCCTGTAATGTTTTTTAATATATTGGCCAAAACCAGAGTGTTGAAAGGATGTAAAGTATCTGCCATATTCTTGGTTGAAGTCTTTTGTCTTCTAGAGCCTCAGTCTAGCAGTGTGTATGTTTGGTTGGTCTTGCATCTCGAGAAAAAATGTTTCCCACATGCTATCTTGTATTGGGAAGTTTGGGCGTTTAAAAAATCTCTGCCAGTGGTACAAAAAAAATAAAATGCAGGTACAGACTAGCTTTCTAGGGTCTTTCAGCTTCTTCAGTTACTTGGAATTTGGTATTGTGCATCTCGTGGCCTTTGTTTAGAGTTAGCAACTGCGAAATAGTCCACTCAAATTTTTGCTCAGGTGCTATGTTTTTTGATGTAGCACTTGGAAAGAAGCAGTCCCATGTCAGATTCTATGGCAGTTTTTAAAACAGTGCATTATATATAACGAGTGGAATCAGTTGCCTGAAAACGAATAGAGATTCCTAAGGAGAGTGTGTGTTCTGAAGTTTCAGATTAGGATGACAGAAGATAGAGTGACAGACTATCCCAGGAATAAATTTGGGTAAGCAAGCCTGACCATCAGGCACAAAGCAGTCTGTGCTGACTAAGTTGAGTCCTTCCAGCTCTTTGACACCTACTAGAGAAAGAAGAAGTTTGCAGATCAAGTGTCATAGATATCACCAGAGAATTTCTTTCACAGGCTTCTTACAACTAATGTAGAACTCAAAAAATGCTCTTTTTTTGCTCTGAAAGATAGGAAATAGAAACAACTTTTTAATGTTTAAGGCCCTTTTGTATTTGTGCTGCACCTGGCACTGAAATATAAGGTGAATGAATAAATGAACACCCTGTGGTAGATGCTGCCTACTGGTTCATTAGTTCTAGTAAGCTCATTTCATTAGTTGTTAGTGCCTTTGTTGATGATTCTGGAGATTTCAATTTTTCCGTTGCAGAAGTAAATTCAAGCCATCCATCATCTTGGGTTACATTTTTCTGCAGCCTGGATCGTTAAGCAAATGTTCCCAGCTGAGTTACTGAGATATTTTAGTGTCTTTGAAATAACAAGATGGTGCTGTTTTCTAAAATGGACAAATTTGTCACCTTTATCATCCTTGGCTTGCTTTGGCCAATGGAATTCCATCCAAGACATAAATATCCCATGGCCACGCGTCTCCTAAGGTTGTGCACCTGTAGCAGCAATTAACCTTTACTATCAGCTAGCTTATGTTACACTTATCTGTAGCCATCTGCAGTTATAGCTGTTAAGTTTCTGGAAGAGCTTGTTAGTGTCTTCCTGAAAATATAAAAGTTTGCTCTGTCATGGTTTTGCAAAATATTGCCTCTGACTGAGCAAGGATAAGGGGGTACCACGGTGGCTGAGAGCAAAGGAGAACTACAGGAACTGCAAATGCAAGTGCCTCCATCCCTGGAAGCAGAAACCACAGAATGGTGGGGCTCTGAAAGCACTACAGCTGAATAAACTGATGCTGAACTGTCTTTTCTCTTTAGCCTCATGAAAGACTACTTCTTTAAACCTCCTATTAACAAGCTGAGCCTGAACTTTTTGGATCAGGATCTGGAGATGGCCTACAGGACAAGCTATCAGGAAGAGGTGAGTTTCTCCTGGCATTGGTTTTCTTCTGTAATCCATTCAAGTAATGTCTGTAATTGTTTTTAACACATTTCATCGCAGTTGATGACAAGGGTTATGAAATGTCAAGTGGGATTTACTACTCAGTAGTGCTGCCTCTGAAAACAGTCTCAGTTTACCTGTCTTGTGCCATGTCCTGAGTCTAGTCCAAGATTTGGGTTGGAAGTACATTTTCACAACCCAGCAGGATACGTTAATCACTTCCCCTGCCTTTTCTCCATTTTCAAGTTAATGTTTCAAGGCTTTAGGCAGCTCAGAGAACTGTAAATGACTACTTGCCTACTCATTACATGTCCTGACTTTGAGAATGGTATTTTTGAATTTGATTCTTGTTCATGCCACAGCCTCCTGGTTATCTCAGTGATACCCAAATCTGATCTGAACTCAGTATTATAAGTTCTGTAAATGTGTTGCATTCAAAAACAGGCAGTTCAAAACACTGTGTAATTGTAAGGAACAGTGTGTAAATTGTGAAGAACTTGGTGCATTCTTCAGGATTTTGCAGTGAGTATAAAAAGTCCTTTACCCCCTTGGGAGCTAGTAGTTCTGCAGATTTTACATGTCAGTAGATATTTTTGCTGGGTTGATATGAACTAGCAAGATGTTGTAAGTTTGCATGTAGCAACGACAGACATCAGTACTAACTGAGGTTGCATTTCCACGACGCTGAAAAGGTACTGCCAAAAGAGGGCAATTGCTCTCCCACCTTGTTCCTACTGCTCCGTGTTTCTGCTAATGGCTCTGGTGCTTACCACACTTCCCTGCTGTGATCCAGTTCATTTTACTAACTTAGCATAAAATATTCATGTTTTGTTTTGCTGTTTGGGGCTTTTCTTTTTCTTTTCCCTTCTATTTTCTGCTGTCTTGGGATTGAACCAGCAGCTTGCTGAGTGCCAGAGGGTCTGGGAGCAGGAAGGGTTGTGCCCTGTCCTTGAGCAGGGTTGAGCTGTGAGGCTGGGTCGCACATCTGGCAGGGTTCCCACCATGATAAACGAAGGTGTTGATTCTCTCTTCTCCCAGTTTACCCTGTATCTGAGGACAGGTAGGATTTCTGCTTCACTGCTTGTTGCTCTGTACTTGTAGGCTGCTTTCTGTGCTGGGCAGTGCTTCCACGCTGTCCTTAGCAGCAGCCCCTGTTTGCTTGGTTTCTACCTTTTACAAATGAGGTCTAACTTTTTCTTTTTCTTTTCTTTTTTTTTTTTTTTTTTTTTCTAACATGAGGGAAGCATAGTAGTGATGCAGTTCAATTCATTCACCTTGTTCAGGAACTCTACGCTCTGCAGCACTTTCATTGGTATCTCTCTGAATAAAGCTCATCCAGCAGCAATAGGGAGAAGCTTCCTGTGGGTGACATTCACATTGATGAAGTTATATCTGCAGCAGTGTATTACATCTACTCATATCCTGGACTGAGTGCTACAGGAGAGCAAACCAAGAGTAGTTTGTGCTCTTTTGATACATCAGAATTTACATGGTATTCATACCAGTGTGTGTGTGTACGTACATGTGAGCACACAGACCCCTGTTTGCCTGCTCAATTTGTACAAACTATACAGAAAACAGTAAAGCAAAATCTTTCCAACTGAAAGATTGGAAAGAGAAGAAAAGCAGTGATAGTCAAGCACATGCAGATTGATCTAGTAATATGGATGTGCATGAAAATCATAGAGGAAGGAGAAGGAATGAGGTCTGTGCATTTTCTTGGTGGTAAGCTGGTCATTTGAAAATTATTACGTAAACCTACCTGAAAATGGGAACCTTATTTTGTAATAGCAACTGTGCAGCACTAGGGCAAAACTTGTTAAAGCCTTACTATTAGCACAGTACTGGTCCAAAACAAAACAACAAAAATCTCTTGGGGAGCGAAGCGATTGTAGCATTGCTGGTTGTTGAAATGCCTCGCAGATCACTGTTGCTGAACGCAACTTCCAGCTCCAGCGAGTTCACCTCTAATTACACGGTGCCAGCTGCATGATTGCTTTGTGATCATTCCTAAGTGTCTCCACATCCCGAGAGCTTGCTTAGCCTGTTCTTGTTTAGAAATTAAGGCACTACTTAACACTGTTAGGGCATCCTTAACACTGTCACTTTAGGATGCAGTGCTGATTTCCTTAATTCAATTTATGCGACTCTGTATGGACTAAAGGGATTCTGCTACAGTTCAGATTAAAAGGTAATTTTGGCCCTGAAACAAAACTCACTGAATACATTAGGTTGCAGAGAGCTACAAATGAAGAACAAGTTCATTTTGCTATGCTGCTGAGTGCCAATAATGTTCTGAGGAGTGAAAGAAATGTCCAAATGAAAGCAGTACAAGATTGCAGTATTCAAACAGGGCTACTTCGTGGTGTTATCAATAGCATACTTCTCATTTTTCTTTGGAATTTGTTTTCTGCTGTCCCTCGGGAAAATACAAACACTTGTAAGACTGTGCTTAGTGGAGTAAGCCAAGGCGCGGAGCTCATGGTCTGGTTTTCAGCTGGACTGGCCAAACCAGCACACACCGCAGCTGTGCCAGCACATGGTGGGGTGGGAACGTGTGGTAAGGGGTTGCTTACAGCAGAGAGTTACTTGGAGTCCTGGCTTTAGATCAGTTCAGGTTACATAGCGTCCCGATTGCTGCTTTTAGTCTTGTCTGAAAGGGAGATGTGAGCTGTGCCACGGTGAACTAACTCTTTCTGTTGAGTGGTGCTTGGAGGGTTTTCTTCAAGAACCCCTGGAACCAGAAAGCTTTTTTTTTTTTTTTTTTTTACTGTTCTACTGTTATTTTAAACGAAAATACTTGAAGAAAACTTCTGATAGCTTTCTCTGCTAGCAATTAGTTTTTTAATGTTCCATTGCATAGTATTGGCAATTTTCATATTATTTCTATATCATTATATTCTGTTAAAAAAATGATAGTGGTCTTTAAGGAAAAAAAAAAATCACGCCATACCCAGGGGCTGTGCTGCCAGTGTGTTTCTGCAACGTAGGCGTATTCTCAGGGAACTGCTAGTCATTGAACTACCTCTTCTGTTTCTTTTTTTAAAACAGTACTTATAGTGGATTAATGAAGTGGCAAAATGTTCTCTATTCCTCTATTTATTTTTGTGAGCTGCTGTTTATGGTACAGTCAAATTCGGCAAGAGAGCATTTATTCATTGTCACCACAAATTCGGCAAGAGAGCATTTATTCATTGTCACCACTTCCCTCAACCCTTGTGTTCCATGCAGGTTATAAGGAATGCTCCAGTGAAGACATTTGCCAGTGCTACCTTCAGCTCACTCCTGGACGTGTTCCTCTCCACCACAGTCTTCCTCATACTATCTGTCACGTGTTTCCTGAAGCACGGGATGGTGGCGTCCCCTCCGCCACCTGCGGCCGTCGTCGTGTTCATCATCGCCATCCTGCTGGAGGTGCTGTCCCTCGTCATCTCCGTTAGGTAATAAAAACGTCACGCTGTCTTGAAATAGGAGTGAGAAACAAAGCGGTTGGCTGGCTAACAGTGCTAGCAAAGGCAAGAAGGCTTGCAGCAGATCTTGTGCAGAGAGGGTCTAGCTTAAAGAAGCAAAGTCTGCACACCGTGTGTGTCCCTGCTTAGTGCTTGTGGTGCCACACACAACTCGATGCCTTTCGCTCTCATCTGTCCTTCAGAAAAATCCCCCACATTTAAACAGAAATACATCATTCTGGTTTAAAGCTGAAATAAGGTGTCACAAATGCAAAGAGTATTCCTTTTCCGGGGGGTGGGGAGGGGAAGGGTGTAGGAATAAATAAAATTGCCAAAGTCACAGCACATCTGTCAAGAATTAGTTTTCTTAATGATTTCTGTTTCAACTCTGATCAGTTTAATATTCAAATACTTCGTGTTTTTTTCTTTTTTACACACTGAAGTTCAGTATTTCCCCCAATTTCTTGGCTGTGTGACAGTCAGCTGCTGCTCAAGACAGGGCATGATCTTGTCTCCTCAGTCAGGGCCCTGCCAGCCCCTACACTGCCTCCTTGCAGCAACCTCCAGGATGTGTGTTCTGGACTTCTGGGACACTTACGGTCCTTCCCCCATCATCTGTAACTTGTTGAAGATCCGTTACTGCGCAGTTCCTGCATAACGTGAGGTTTCCCCAGGCCTTAGCAGAACACTGCAGTTGTTACATGCATTCAGCAAAGCTCATGCTCTCCTGGGCGTGTTGCCTGATGTGCACAGATACCACATGTAACATGTTATTAACCCAGATGGGAGACGCAATAGTAAGATGTTTGTTTGTCTGTACTTGTGATGGCAAGTTAATTCTGCCCCCCTCGTTCTCTGTTTTCACTGTCACAAGAGAATGTTATGCGGGTGGTGTGTGGAAACGGGTGTCTTCACTTGCAGCTCTGCAGATCTGTTGGTTATGTGTAAGTTAAAATGCTTTTGCAGTTACAAGTCAGAAGCAATTCTGCTGTTGTTTCAAAAGAAACAGTAGATTGCAGCTTGCACTCTGACTTTTCAGGCTAGAGGTAAAAAATAATTTGTACTTCAGCCACCAAAGTAATCCTTGTAACTCAAGTATGCCTACAAAGGTATGCAGGCATGTTTACAGGAAATTGTTTTGGAATAAAGAGATGTCATTTGTGAACAGGGACAGTACTTCTGAAGGTAGTGTTTCTTAGCAGGTGTATTTGGCTGTTACGGCTTGAATAGTATTGTAGTTCTGGAGTTTTTGGAAAAACTAGGAAATCAGAAAAGTGAAAGGTTTTTTTGTCAGTTTAATAAGCCCAAGCAGTTCCTTCATTACGTCAGGATGGGGAGCAGGAAGGCAACAGTGAGCAGTTAGTTTGGGTTAGGTGGCCACAAAACTGAATCCTTGGATTTGTTCAGCTCTGAACAGCTCAGCCACTGCTTTGTACAAGAGTTGGTTTCTGCTACCCAGGTGCATTTGGAGATAATTTGTTTATTCACCTTGCAGATACCTTATCAAAATAACTCCATTTTAGTATTTTTCAGTATGTTATTGTTCCTACTTGTTTTTCCAATGTCACATTATTATCTTTGCATTTACCTTTTCTTACTTCGTACAGTTATAAAAGATAATGCTGTAATCCTATACATTTTTATATGTGGGTACATAAGGTTTTCCTTCAGTCCTGTTCTGTAATTGGTGGGTCATGTTTTATTTAAGGACAAGAAGGAAAGTTGTTGTTTTCAGTATGCTATCTCTATAGTCAGGAATTTGCAAAGCAGTTTTGTCTTTCTGAGCTGTGTACAGCAGTAGGGAGGTTTAGATTCATTGCAGTACTGTATTGCTGACATCCATGCTCTCTGATAGTGAGCCTGGGCCATTACCAAGGTGAGTTTAATGTTTTCTTAATGCTATTTGTTTTTTCCAATGACGTTTCTGCCATTTGCATGAGATTGTATTGGTTTAAAACCTAAATTTTACTTCCTGAACAGGTTCAGATTCCTCATTTAAAGTCGTGTTGATTTAAAAAGCCAGTGTTTAAAGCAGACTCCTAAGTCTTAGAAGTATCTATTTTTTAATATTAATCATTCCTTTGTGTTTAATTCTGATTGGAAAAGCAGACTAAGAAATATCTCACCTTTTGGTGAACATCTGTAGACAGTCATCAAAACTTAACTGGTCCCACCTGTTATGGTAGCAGCAGGTTTTCAATAAACAATGCATGGAGAGCACACAGGTTTGCCTTTCTCCTAATGGACACTCAAGGGAGGTTTGGGCATGCAGGGAATATTGTAATTCCTGCACAGCTACTACGAGTGCAGATGATGGGTGCTCACTAGCACTTGCTGCTTTCACTGGGACCGAGATGGCTGTGAATCTCAAGACCCCACAAATTCTTGTGGTTAATTTGGGAAACAGGAATTGCTGGATGGGAGAAGTGGTTGCTGCCCTTCCCTGCGCTCTCCACCAAATGCGTGGCTGAGGAATTTGTGATTGAAAACAAGCCACTGGCTATCAGTAGCTACTGGGGCCCTTGTCACGCAACTGTGAGATGTGCTCTTCTTTCCTCTGGCATGAGGGAAGTGTCTGCAAATTTACCCCAGAGTTACAAGCAGTAGATTCTCAGTCATTTGCTGCCACAGGCTCACATTCACAATCTTTCCTTTAGTAAACAAAATATAATTTATACTTGGCTTACATCTCATCATGGCATCTATAGTAACTTGTAAGTAAATCTCTGAAGTTCAAAAAAGGATCATCTCAGATCTGGGGAGAGCTCACCCAGGGTACTTCCTTGAAAACAGCCTCCTACTTTGCACTGAAAAAGAGCTTTTATTGCTGAAGACAATCTGAGAAGCCTTCTGGCTTGCTTTCAGTTAGAATCATAGAATCATTCAGGTTGGAAAAGACCTCTAAGATCATCTAGTCTAACCCTTAACCTAGTGCTAAAGTCCACCATGCTTCTAAGTTCTACATCTACACATTTCTTGAAGACCTCCAGGGATGGTTACTTCCCTGGGCAGCCTATTCTAATGCCACACAACCCTTTCAGTAAAGAAATTTCTCCTGATACCCAACCTAAACCTTCCCTGGTGCACCTTGAGGCCTTTTCCCTTCATTTTACCGCTTGGTGCTTGGGAGAAGAGCCTGATTCCCACCTCTCTATAGCCTCCTTTAAGGTAATTCAAGGTAATTCTAAGAACTAAGTTCTTTAGTTTAGAACTAGGAACTAGTTCTAAATATGTTGGCATATTTTAGCCCCCCCCCCTCCTTTTTTTTTTTTTTTTTTTAGGATTTGATGTCTGTTTGGGGGTTTGGGTTGTTCGGTATTTTGGGGGCACTCCAGTCTCCACAGCCTGAGGCACACGCTCATGTACAAGTGTAACAACCTTCCACTTCCCCATCTGTGCTATTGAAATACGATCATTCTCTAAGTGTTCCTTAGTTGGCTGCATTAAATTCAAAATGTTTTAAATTGTGCACTGCATTGCATATTCCCAGAGGATGAGTTTACAGGCAGCTCTGTTTTCACTGCCGAAGCATGGAGCTTGTTGGCATCAAGAGGACAGACGTACTGTTGTGCCCTTATTCCATCTCACTTCCTTTGATCAGAAAGAACAAAATCATCCTTTTCCTCTTTAAATTGTCTTCAAAGCGAGGACTGCTCACTCTGACCGCTCATTATGCACAGAAAAGTGCAGAGCTTCCTGTGCAGAAATGTCATCACAAGTGACAATCACAGAATACCACAGAGATATCTTGAAGGGAGGGGATTGGGCTACAATGCTGGGCACAATCCTAGAATTTCAGGAGAGGGATTATTTTGGGACCAAAAAATTCTTGCCTAAGTTTCTTATTGTATTTTCATTATCATGATGCGAAGCACCCTGTGTTTAAATCAGTCTGACTTTTAATTGAATCCAGTGCTCAGACTAGGAAGTACTCGCTGCAGCTCTTGTGGCTAAGGGCTCGAGTCCAGCTGCGGTAGTGGGAGAGGAAAGCACTCGCTGCCTGCACAATGAGAAACGAGGTAAAACTGAAGTTGTTAGAGCAGAAGTCCTTATGGAGCAAGGCTTGCAGGAGAAGGATGTTTTGATTTCTCTGAAGTGTCTGATAATAAATTATTGGAGTATCTATAGATGAGGATCCCACTGTTATCACAAGTGCCACTCTAGAATTAATTGTTTAAAGCTGCATGCAAAAAGTGGTGCTTAATTTGTCAGCATGTGGAGTATGTCATCTCCAGTTCTGTAAATGTAGTGCAAAGAATGTCCTTCTGCCCACTTGAAATATGACTACTTTGACTTTCATGAGTTCAGTTGGAGTGTAAGAGGTCTTAAAGTTCTGGTATTTTATAAAAAAATATCTTGGGAAATGTCACTGAGCATACGACAGTGTGTGAAGTTTCACTTGGGATTCTTAGGGGTGCTTCTGCAGGAATACAGGTAAAAGAGATCTGCCCACTATTTTAGGTGTGAATACAAGTTTTTTTGTTGACTAGAAGCTTTTTGCATCCAGTTCTTGTTCTCAATTAAAACTTGTTATAAATAAGATGTTTAAAACATGCATTGCTTTCAATAACACCCTTCAGTGAAGATCTCTCAGTGAGGAGATGAATCCAGTGTAGTGGATATTTCAATCCTGTTCTAAAGAGTGAGAGGTGGGAGCACCTGGTAAGTTGATTCATCACTTTAGAAGTACCTTAATAGAGAGGAAAAAAATCTTCCGGGTGAAGAAAAAAAGCAAACAGAGTCAAAGCAGTAGAATGGAAACCTGCTGTACTCTGATGAAATAAAACTGCACTTTGCCCACTACTTTACCTTCTCAGGGCTTGCCAAAGTGATATCCAAAGTCTGTCTGCTGTTGAAACCTGGTAGCCGACCGATTGGATCTTCTTAAATTCCTCATAGCCAAGGACAAAAATTGCTTGGTGCAACTAGAGCTTAATGAACTGGTTTTGTTAACAACCTGACTTACATAGAGTATTGATGCAAGGGCAAACTGCATTCTGTTTTGCCTTTATTTATTTCTAACATCTGTGACTTTGGTATTTAATATCCCACCAATTCACTGCTGTGCCAAAAGCTTTTGATTTGAAATATGGGAATTGATTTTAAACTGCCAGTAAATACAGAAATGACGGTAATGTTCTCCATTAGCCATTAATCATTTATGCCAAAGTTACTAATTTGAACTGCAGCTTGTGTAAACATCTTAGATGCTTCAGCATTTAAGCCCTGTTGAGCTACCCAGTGACACTGCATTATTTACCGGTAGTGCCCTGTAGCCATTAAATGTCTGCAGCTCTCCTGCTGCCGGGATTTAATGCAGCGCTCGCTTCCTCTGATGGGAGAGCTGTGCTGCGTTCACAGGCTTCATCTGTTTTGTGAAAGATGGGGTTTCGCTTGTTTTAATTCCAGAGCACAGAGCATTGCAATTGATTCTGGACTGAAAAAAAAAAAAATAAAAATCAATGCAAGAAGGTAAACATTACCACTGAGAAATGTGGAGTTGTCCTGGAATTTGTGCTTGCTTTTTCAAACATGCAGCTGCCTAAATAAAGAAGTGTCCTCATCCCAGGATTAACAGATCAGGTTTGCTGATGGATTTGTTGCTATAGTTCCCACAAGAATTTATCCTGGCATGAGGCTTGGCAAAAACCAAGCTTTTCTGCTCCGTGCAGTGCCCGCGTGGGTTGGGGTGCGAGACACCAGTGGTGCTGGGTGCCTGTCCCCAGGGCTGGGATCTGCACCCACAGCGGGGTCCAGGCGTTGGCGTGGGCAGGGGGTGCCCAGCTCCACATGGGAGTGATGGGTGCTGCCCACGGTGCTCTGCCAGAGCCAGAGCTGTTTCCTTCTCACCGTTTAGCCATGTAAATGCTGATCCCAGTTCGTATGATTTAGCAGGATCGACTTTATTTTTAGAGGCATGAACTTGGGTGGCATTTTCAGAAGGACTCGATACTGGAGCAGCTTGGCTGCCGCTGGAGCCGGGACACGTTCTGCCATGGATGGCAGAGGCTGTCAGGACGGTATATAACACTTTAGAAAAAATAGTAATTACTCTACAGGGCTTTCGAATTTATTTTGCTTTCTATGCAGTTGCATTTCCGTGCTTTGTTGCAAATTCTCTTTTATGATGTAATATAGCTGTGCTTTTTGGCTTACATGGGACTCCATTCACTAGGCACTGAGAAATCTGTGAGCACCCTCTCGTGGGGTGCTGCTGTATTACAGCGTTTTCCATCCTATTGCCCTAATTTTCTCTTTTTTTTTTTCTTTGCACTTAAGTATAATTCCAATATTTTAATGTATTAAATGAGAAAATAAGTCTATTGAATAATGCTAGGGGTTGCAAAATTCATGAAGCCTAGAGCTGAGAATTAAAGTAACGCTCATGAGCAAGTCATATTTAAAAGGCGTGCAATTAGTGTCCAAGTCACGCAGAAAACTTTACCCATTTTTTATCAGGTTTTTATCCAACATTATACCTTGTATTTTAGTCAAAAGCATTAGAGAAAAATCCTCTGTGTTTATTTATTTATTTATTTTTGTTTTAAAAAAAAATCCAGGTAGTATGCAATAGTTTGTGACTTTGGAATATGTGAATTCCACATTTAGCATATATTGTATTTAAACATTCTTGTCAGCTGTGAGCATCTCTGTCCAAAAACCATTTGGGCTCCCTGGTCATCCACTGTGGCACCAGCAGAATTACCCGTGCCACAAACTCACAGGGCGCTGCTCACGCCTGCCCCGTGGTCTCACAGCAGGCTCTGTGGTTCTGCCATTTCTCTTTAAAGTAAGTTCATCTCACAAAAGCAGGAATGCTTTGGTAAAGCAATAAAAGCCCAGACCTGCTCTGGTAAATACACACATCCACAATGGAGAGCCTTTGAATGAAGGCAACTATTGCATTGCCTTTTTATGCCTCCATAAAAATAATTAAAACCTTGAAAAGCGGTTGCAGTTTTTGGAGAGTGATGAATGTTTCTGAGCTTTGAGAAGCAAATGTTGCTGATAATCTATTTCTGTAGATAAAAAACAGTTTGTTAAGCAAGCTTTCACCTTTGCTCACTCGTTTTAATGATGAGAAGCGCTCAGGTGTAAGAAGAGTCTCCACTGAGCTGCCCTCGGGAGCTCTCCCCACCTCTTTAAGGCTAAGTATTTATGACTGTAAGTCTCTCATACGCTTACCTTCCAAGTGAAAAGTGTTTTCCAGTTTGTTTCTCAAACCCCTGCATCCCCCCTCCCTCCCATCCCACCTCGTGCTGTAGCAAATGAGCCATCATCTTTCAGCACGCCTGGATCATTCCTTGAACTTACCAGCAGGTGGTATGGCACGTGGCAAGCTGCGACTGGTGCTGCAGTCCCAGTGAAGAATTTTAAGTTATTTTATTACAGGTAATTAAGCTGTATGGAGTGATGTGCTGAAATTAACCCATAGGTCTGTGGTTCCGTTTGTTCCAGGATGGCATTCTTCCTGGAGGAGGTGATGACTTGCACGAAGCGTCTCCTGGAGGTGATATCTGGCTGGCTGCCTCGACATTTTTTCGGTGCAATCCTAGTTTCTCTCCCAGCTCTTGCAGTTTTTTCGCACTTCACCTCTGATTTTGAAACAAATATACATGTAAGTTGTAGAACTCCGTTTCATAGTCTGACGTTTTGGATCTAACTTAGCTTGTTGCTTGCCTGCCTTCTTCCTTCACATCCCTCATGCTTTACAGATGTTTGATACAGATCCGTTAGAGAAAAACAGGGCTTTTGTGTATGATGGAATACATAGTTTGTTACATAAATACAGTGACTTGCTGGAAAACTGTCATAGAGAAGAGGAGAGAGATAGTTATAAATACCTGTGTGCATACATACTTTTTTTTTTTTCCCTTAGAACAAATACTTCTGCTGGTATTTACTCTGACTAATGCAAGTAGAGTATCTTATTTTGTTTTTTAATTTGGAGTTTGTAGTCTGAAATGTTTTGTGAACCTAAGAAGTTTGCATGCATATTAGTAAATCTAAGAGCAAGACCAGTATTAGCAGTGGGTTGCTTGTTTTTTTTCTCTGCCAGGCTAGATGGAAAAACTGAAAGGAAAGAGTTGTTGGGACATAAAAATGATTACCCTGAGGGGCTGCAGGGATGGGTAAAGAACACAGGATGTGCCTTCTCAAAAGGAACTGAAAGAAACTGGCTTTTTTGGCCCAGCCAGAGACAGGTTCACAGAAGATTTGGTGCCTTCTTTAATAAAAACATTCAGAAGCAGGGAGCAAGGAGCAAAATATGGAGGAAAGAAAATAACTGTTTAATTTAAAGGTGATGCATCGCATAAAATCAGTGCTTATAATTTTTATGAATAAAACAGATGAGAAACAGATGAAAGCTTGTTTCTCTTAGGTAGCACAGTGTATGAGCCTTCCTTTCCAGGATCTTCAGGGAATTCATTTACAAATCGCTTGCTATTGCAGGGCCCTGCTTATAGGTAACAACCAGATCCTCTTCCTTCTTCCTACCATGAATTACAGATGCAGTTTGGTACTGTGTGTCGGGAAGTGTTTGTTCTGTGGGAACATATGGACCAGGCATTTTGATTTAAATCTATTCCGTGGTTTTCATAGTCACAAAGGACTGGATTTGAGGATCTCACAACCCATGTTTAAAATCTTTCTGTAGCTTTTACCTTTGTGAATATAACCAAAGTTAACTATTTTAAAGCTGTACAATTTTTTTAGTTCAATGATGCCCTTCTTCCCTCATGACCACTAGCAAACTAATTGTAGGAATGTTTTCTTTACGCTGAAGGGACCTGAAAACCTTCAAATCTCTCAAATTTCTTTGTGCATTGATTTTATATCATCCCATTCATCACCATCCATGATCATCTCTCCAAACATGTAAAAGTAACGTTGGAAGACCCATTTTTGTTAGTGTATTCTCTATACCTCATCATACCAGGTTATTGGTCTAAGTGCTTCAAGCAGCAGCAGTGAGGCGGTGGTGTTCATCACCAAGCTGAGAATGATCTTGGCTTTCTTTCCTCTTGCAGGTCCTCCAGAGTCGCGGGGTTGTTGGCTCACTCTCCAAGAGATGTCCCAACTCATCTTGTGCTCAGTGATGTTCCAACAATCATGGAGCTCTAGGAAATGGAATCAATCTATAGAGGGTCAGGTAAGTGTCATATTTTACTATGACATGGTTTTGCAAAGTTTTTTTTTATTCATAGCATTTTATACCTTCCCTGGATATAAAATAATTAAAATCAAAATTAACAAAAACAGCAATGAAAAAAAAACTTTCCAAAGCCATGCATACATAGTAAACACAGCACTTGCTGACCCTCTATAGGCTGGCTTCATGCTGGGGCATCACTTGGAGTGAGAACCAGTGCTCTGCCACTTTAGGAGACCTGAAATGGGGGGAAAAAAGTAAGTTTAAATTATGTTTTTTATGGACACTTCTGAAATGAAATTCATCCATTTTTTTAGTCATTAAATGAAACAAAAAACACTGGTCTTGTGGTTTAAAATGTTAAATTATGTAAGTTTTTTTTCCATACACTGTGTCTACTTCTGAATCACATGCTTATTTGTTATGTGACAGTATTCCTAATTTGCATTTTCTGCATTTCAGCTGTAAAGGAAATTTAAAATGGGGGAGAGAGAGAGCGATCACTTGATACTGTAAAATGCAGTATGTAGCAGAACAGAGCTTCAGGACGCGGTTGTGAAGTCTCTGCTTTAGCTTGGATGGTCATTGATATTCTTGATAAAACCAGACCTTGCACAACAGCTTGAGAGCTTTGACTGGTGTAACGTTGTATCTCAGGGAAATTAAGACATTCTGGGGAATATCTCCATTCTGCACTTCCTTTTATTTATCCAGCAAAGATGTGGAAGGGGAAAGCATTCTGAGATAAGGCATTTGGAAGAGAAAATCCAACTTTTTTTTTTTTAATTGGCACAAGTAGTGGTATTACCGAGCACTGATTGACAGTGATTGATACCTGTCTTCTGTGATTAAAATAGTTTTTTCTTATTTCCTTATTCACCTGCTGATAGGCAGTATGCTAGCATCCTCTAAGAAGTGTTCTTAAGGGTAGGAAGCTGGTTGTAGTTCCTGAGGGTGAATATGTTCCACATTTTCAGTGAAGTGGAATTTTGACATCCCGTTCAAAACAGGGAGGGTCTAATCCCAGTAATTAGAGAGGAGATTAATGTCAATGCTTACCCTATTTTTTCCTTTTTTCCTTTTTTTTTTTTTTTAATAAGAAGAGGAACTGAGCATTTTGCTAAGGTAAGCTGAAGGTGTTGAATAGTATTGAAATAATGGTGGTATAATGCGGTAATGCAAAACTGTATCTAGGGAAAATTGTGACAAACTGTCAATGCTAAAAGTTTGCTTGCTCTTTGAAGGGAAGACCTCCATCTTCAAGTGCTGCCTCCTGTTACAGACACAATGAGGATCACTTAATGTGCATATCACACAAGGAAATTAGGGCTTTCTCTCTCATATTGCACATGCCTTTGTTTGTGCTGGCATTTATGTGCAAAAGGGCTCCAGTCAGCAAGACAAAGCTAACTCGCACTCTCTCTCTTTGTTGCAGTACACCATGTTTATGTGTTGTGCCATTCTGATCACCATTGTGCAGTACTGTAACTTCTGCCAGCTTAGCTCCTGGATGAGATCTCTATTGGCAACTGTAGTAGGAGCAGTGCTTCTCATTCTGCTCTACATCTCCTTGTGTCCAGACAGGTGAGCATCACATCCCAGCACCCATAGACCATGTTTGGGATAAGAAAATTTGGGATAAACAAATTTTTCACTGCCGGTGAAGTGAGGATCCAATACATGTGATTTTAGTATCCGCCATGAATTTCTCTAGTATCTCAAATGTAAAAAGTTGATTTGGAAAGAGATCTGCGTTTTTGGAGGCATTTCAGAATGCTACCTGAGGGGCCCTTTCCTGTAATCTGTGTTGAAATGATGCTCTGTCCTCAAGTGGTGTGTTTCTAGGGCACACGTAGGAGACCCATAGAATTGTTTTTTACCTTTTGTTAGAAAATCTGTTTTAAGATATTTCTGAGGTGTTTGGTGTCCTCTCCTAGCTGGATTTACATTTGCACGTAAGAATCGTGTATTGTTCTTCCAGATCCCTCCTCAAGGAATTCTGCACTGTAAAAGGCAGGCACTCAGATTTAATAGAGATCTAATATCCTGCTTCCTTTCTCACTTCTCTGCCTTTTCAGAGGATGCTGCAAAACCATAACTAGAGGAATCATGTTAATGTAGTTTGTGTGAAATAACCTTAAGCCCTTTCAGTTTGTCTGCTGATAAGCAGCTTTCTCCATAGGAGAACTTGTTTGCAGTATTCTTCTGTTTTCTCACCAAGATAGTCAAGGGACTCCTTCCAGCCCCCTGTCCACTCCTATTGTCAAAATTTTATAATCAAACTGCGCTTCTTGGTGGCTTAAGAAATATGGCTTTTGGCACTCTCACCATAGCATGGGCTTTGCAAGGACTTCTTATGCTAGGCTTCTGTGATTCCTATCAAAAGCTATTCATTCCTTTTACACTTCTTCAGAGGCCTGTTGAACCATATGGTGAAAAGCCGGGGAAAGAAAAAAAAAATAAAGTATTGCAGATGCGTGTTTTGTGTATTTAGTTTTCCCCTCTTCAGGCGTCTTCAGCTGACTCTTAATCTTGATCCAATTTATATTATAAGAGGACAGAATAAAAGTCACCCCTTAACATCTGCTCAGGCTGTAAGTAACTCAGAAGTGGCTATGAGAGCTGTAGGAAGAAGAGCTTGTCCCTCCTTAGAAAAAAATAACTTGGAACTGGTGTTAGTTGACAAATGGTTTCTAGATCATATTAGACTAAAGAAAATCCTTTTTATGTCAGCAGAGCACTCAAGCGAGGAGTACAGAACAGCCTTTTCTAGCTTCAGTGGAGGGAAGAAGTGTTTGGTTTCTGGAAGTAGTGTTCAGTTTCTGGATGCCTGCTCCCTTTTTCTCATCTTTGATTTTTCAGTTGGATTTATTTGTCCAGCTTACCTAACAACATCACTCCTCTGGTGTGCTAAGTGACCCTCTCCCAGTAACAGTTACTTTTCATTTCACTCATTTCATTTTTCCTTGGCACTCTTTTGCTGTCCAACCACCAGCTTCACCGAGAAGTTAGCCCCAGGTTCATTTACTCAAGGAAGTCAGTGAACAGTAAACTCATAATGCTGTTTCACGACTCCCTTGCTCCTCTTCCATAATTCCCCCAGGCCAGGGGTCTTGCTGCTTATTAAGCTACACGCCTGCTGCTAGCATGTCTTCATGGAGCTGCTGCAGCATAACTCAGTGCTGGGTGCAGAATCACAGACAGAACTAGAGAATGGCTGAGGCTGGAAGGGACCCCTGGGGGTTTCAGGTGCAGCCCCTGTCCCAGCAAGGGACACCCAGAGCTGCTTGTCCAGGACCATGACCAGCAAGCAGAGCCTTTTAGAATAGGGTAATGTAACATCAGCGTAGTACCAAAAGTCTTTATGCAAAGGCAGGCAGTCAAGCTACAGCATGGAAAAGGTATCAAAGTGGTTGACATTTTCCTGGGTGATTACTTCAACAGACCTCTGTGCAGTTTATTGCAGAAGAAAATCAAAACGTTTGTTGTCATAATTTTAACTCCTACTTCCATATTCAGAGACACATTTTAGACAAATCACAGGTGCAATTACTAGATCAGCTTGTACATAAGCTCTGCATCATGACATTGCGCAAAGGGAGGGACACAAAACTTGAGATAACTTGGGGATTTCCCTGCACATCAATTTTATTAAGGGACTGGAAAGGTTATTCCCAAACAGAGAGGTGGAGACCTTGCAATCTGACACTTTGTAGCACCACCTTTGCTAACTACTAAGGGGGTAATTATGAATGTTTAAGAAACTTTGTCTTAAGAAATTTTCCTGATGGTAGTGTATTTTTGCCTGTGGTTTGAGTAGTGGTGATCAGGAATGGGCAAAGTTTAGAATTCATGCAATATGTTATTTCATCTCTGAAGTATTTAAAGTAATAGGCTGAGCTGTTCAGCTGCATACCTGAAAAACAGCAATTTGTAGAATAGATCGTGAACAAAATGCAGGTTGAATTAGTGTGTCCCATAACTTCTATTTGCCTAGATTAATAATAACTTGTTTTGTTCCTTTCTTATCGATAGTCTAGATGATTTTTTGTCACAAAGGTAATTGCAGCTTTTTACCTCACAGGGAAATCCATTCTGCACTATTCTTTACCTTTTTTTTTTTCCCCAAAAAGTAACTAGTTCTGTCAATTATAATACTTAATTGCTGCATAGAAATTGTGATGTTTAAATTACTTTCATTCATGGCATCTTCAAAAAGAGACTCTATATTTGTGTTTTGGTTATTATTTTTTTTAATCTTTGTATTGTGTTGGTCCAATAAGATGGAGGCATAGCTGATTTTTAGAGTTCTGAAATTGGTTTTCTATGTTTCCAAGGTAAGTCTGGATTCTTTCACAATTACTTGTTCCAGACATCATATTGACTGCATTATCATCACCTAGTCTTCAGAGGTTTTTGCATCGCTGTCTGACTGTGGTTGCTTCTGCCAAGCAAAAAGTGCAGATAAGTCGGCGTTCAAACAAAGTTTGTCTGAAGTTGATCAAATGTGCAGTGCTATTATTGGTCCTACTGTCCACATAATAGAAAAGTTCAAAATGCTAACTGGAATTCTGGCAGAATGCTTTGTTTATTGCTTTAACTTCCTTCTGATGTCAATGCTTTTTTCTTTTTTTTTTATTTCAGCTCTGTGGAAACTTTTCATCTGGATTTGGCGCAGAACTTTAGGTAAACTTTATATCAAATGACTGTGTTTAGGAATAGAAACATTTTCAACCAGTTACATGTAGTAAAACTTTGCATCCATAGTAATACACTTGGGAATTCAACAAATTGGTCCAGCAAGTTGTGTTTAAGCTCCTTGTGTACCTAATTTCCTTTCCAGAAGACCTGAGTATGATGAAAAATCATCAGAGAGCTAATACTGCAGTTGCTGAATTGCATAATGCTATTTTCTTTTTAAATTTGATTTGTAAGAAATAGTACTATGGAGGAGCTGTATAAAATAGCACCTGTTCTTCCAGTAGTAGCTGTTTTTAAAGCGCTATCTGTACATCTTGAGCTTTTTTTTTAAATTGTTTTGTTGATTTGCACAATTTGGAAGCATGCAGAGTTAGATGTTACCCACAGCTGGGCAGCTGAGAATTCCCTGGTGTAGAGAAACGTCAGCAGAAAGAGCAGGCTGTGAAGCCAGCTGCCTTCACCAGGACGGAGACATGCAGGCAGTGACAGTCTGCGTGCTGTCTGTCACCCGCAGCTCACTTAGGCAGCACAGCACGTACTGTCATTGAGAGCAAATGAAATTGTAGCCCCCAGACTTCTAAACCAACAAACAAAAATCTTTTATTGGGTTATGAATAGCCCCTTACAGATCAGCGAATTAAAGATTCACTCTAATTATTTCAGTGCTGAATTCCCTGTGATTTTATTGTGAGTTTTTCTTCTACCATTTTAAGTGTTTTTACTAGTTGTTGGTATTAGAAAAACGTGTTTTCTAATTGCACGTTTGGGGGCAATACTGAGGTGATGTTGTGCTCGAATGAACTAATGACCGTATGAACAAGTTGACGAAGTAATTCATTTAAACCAGTGTGTATTCAAGAGGATGTTGCTTTTGCTGTATGTATCACCAAAAAAAAATAGTATTTACTTTTAAAAATTATCTACACAAAGTGCTATGTTAGTTTAGCAAAAATATGTGTGTTGTAAAGACAGGGAGATGGTAACTAAGCTTTCTTATTAGATTTATTCACCAAGATGATAAAATTTAATACAGTGGTATTTTTTTACATGGGTTTTCCTTTCTTATGGCTTTGATTGAAGATCAAAGATGAAAGATAACTTCATTTTCAGAAGGGAATTCCAGTTCACTAAACCCAGAAGGGCTGAAAAGTTAAAGCCAAAAAACAGAGGTTGCTCGGTTTTTGTAGGCCAAAACACTGGAGGGAATTTGCTGAAAATGCAATGTACAAAATATTGAAGTGTGCTGATCACTGAAGGTAATGTCTTAGGATTAACCTGAATTTAAATCTTCAGTGTGGTATTATTAGTTTGTGAAATGGCCTAAGCTTTTACGTTGCTCAGAATTACAAATGTCTTGGCCACCACTGACAACAGCTTAACAGGTTCCTGACCAGCTGCTAATCACAAATAAATAATTCATTCTGCCTTAAATAATTGACAACCCAGTCTTCAGTTCCACGACTGTTTGTATATCATTGTTTATTAGGAATCTGTCAAAAAAGAGCTGTCAAGCACTGTTTACATGCAAACATTTTTATTTCAAGAACGTATCACATAACTTCTAACTCATGATAAATAAAAATAGATAAAACCAAACCACGTAGAGGTTGTTACTGCAAGCAGGCATGGAGTACACTCTACCTGCTTTGCAAATTGTAGCCTGTGATTTAGATTCTAAATAAAGCAGTGACCAAAACATCTGGCTCATTAAACATTTCTAAGCTTAAAATTAAGCTTTCTACTGTGAGATGCGTGGTATTTGTATTTTGCCTGGCATTCCTTCAGTCAGAGAAAAAATGCAGGTACACGGTGCACGTGTAAATACCGCACAGCGCCGTCCTTCCTGTGGGCAGCGGCAGCTTTGTCGGGTGGTGGTTTGTTGGTCACCATCTCTGGTTTAATGCAGGAACTGTGTCACACCAGTGCGATGTTTGTGAGTGGCTTAGGCTCCTCTGATCTGAAGCTGTCCAAACTTAGGAAGTGATGTAATTCTTCTCTGGTTTGGAAGTTAAAAGAGAGAACTAGGAGTTAATCCTATTCTGCTTCTACTGTTGATTTGCAACAGAATTTGGTTGCTTGGGGCTCTTTTTAATGTGCATCGTTATATACCACAGTTTTAGAGTTCTGGGAAACAGATTTTTCCCTTTTTCCAGGTGGTGTACCAATAAAAAGTAGAAACTCCCTTATCCTAACAAACATTTACGCTGTTTATTTCTAAGTAGTGTAGATAAATAAAAAAGATCCCTTGGTCACCCAGATCAGCGCAAAAGCTTTTCCTTAGCTCTAAGAGGGCAAGACAAACTTTTTATTTGCATGCCTTTCATGAAGCCATTCCCTGCTCTTGATCAAGAATCGAGATAATAATTACTATTGCTTGGGAGGAAAGGTACTAGTAATGGTAATGAAGTCTTAGCACAGAGTTCATCTCTGGACTGTCTATGCTGTGCTCAGTAAATCAAAATATGGAATTTGCCTCCTTTTCCAGACAGACCAGTTCATCAGCCCCAAAGAGGTATTACTGCACTTGGTCTTCTAAGCAAGAAATATTTCTTGTTTTCATTCATTTCTTATCTGAGAGCAGATAAAGTGTATTGTCGCAGCCTGTGATGGCTCAAGGAGGAACACTGATAGGCTACTCAAGGTGGAAGACTATAATTGCTTGATGATAGGGGTTTTTTATATGCCTCCTCTTTATGTTCTTCATTGAAAGCAGCTGTTTGATTTCCTTTTTCTGTGCTGTTCCACCATTGCATTCTTTTTTAAGATTTAGCAGGCGTGCATCCACTTTAAATATAGTAAGAAATCCAAATCCAAACATAGGTTACTGGCTCAGAAGCAAAATGGCTTTCCAAAAATCTTTATAAGTAGAAAGCCATTATCTTTATGATTTGTGATCAAGCCAAAGGAGATTCTATCTCCGGAGCTCTCACTTGTTCCATATTCAACACACAGGCTGAAGGAAGATGCCAAGTTAATAGTTAGGCATCTGTGCCAGGAAGTGCTTCAACAGTTTGAGTTAAAGGAACATTGACAGCTTAAGATTTCGGTCTGAATGACTTTTAAAATTAGTTTTCTGCTGCAACACCTCATGAAGAGTAGAACTTAAAAGGATTTGGTTTTGTGTGATCCGTTTATATACAGAGGTGTAGGTTTTTTTATTTCTTGCATTCTAAAGGGCAGCTTTGGACAGGGGGTCGTCTTTGCTAACAGACTGTGAGGTGGTTTAAAGCCCTGTAGGTCCTGTAACCTATTCGCTGCAATGTCCAGAAGTTTGATTTTCAAATGAGTAGGAAGTAAATGTTTCCTCCTTCAGGTTAGTATTGTGGCTTTTTGTACTAATGCTTGCAGCAGTCACATAGTGATCAAAAATGCCTGCTCTGGAAAAGATACTGCACCTTCTCTTTTGAGATACTAACCCATTACCTTATTAATGAAATCAGGTCAGCTTACAAGTGAGTCACTCTCATTTCAAATGCAGATCTCTAAGGTTGTACGCCCACGTGGGAAACAAGGTCAAGCCGGTGCTTGAGGAGATGATTGAGAGCTCGCAGATGCCAGTGCTTCAGGAGCTGTGAATGGGAGGCAGGAGTTTGTTCTTAAAAGGCATCTCTAGCGTTTGATACGGGCCACTTTTTGTAACGGAAAATGTAGGGTGCCTTCTTCATTTATTTACGAGGAATTACAGAACCAAGGACTATTTTGTACAATAAAAACTAAATAAAAAGCCTCTAATGACTTAAATAAATCCCTGTGGCAGGGCTGTTTGATGTTAGAGCAGACTATCTGAATCAAACTCATGTACTCTCAAAGGAGTAACTTGGCATTGCTCAGATCTGCCGGCAGATCTCTTTCCACAAGATATGGAAAATAATCAACTGTTTTGGAAAGAACCTGAATCATGCTTCTTGACTGAGATTCATTCCTCACCTCCTCCAGCTTTCTTTATTTAAAGAGATCTTTACTCTTACCTATCCTCTCTTGTTCTGTTCTCTAAGCCCATCAAATTTGGCGGATATTTTGCTACCTACTAAAGAGGCAGCAAAGCTTGTATTTTAGAAATTCTTACTATTCCAGTCATTGATTTTTTTTTTATTATTATTTTTTTGGGGATGTCAAACCAACAAAATGAATATACCTTCATTTCTCCTGGGAGAAATATATTTATGGTTAGGAAAAAATATATATATATATAATATATATTAATTCCCAACATAATACATAGTCTTACCTTTAATCTGAAATTTGACCTGTAAGCTCTCTATTGTAAATACTTGCAGAAACCTTTTTCTCTCCTATAGGCTTACTATGATAAAATTCAATAGATACATATACCAAAAAAAAAGACCATAGCACAGAATAAAATGTGTGTATTCATCTGTATCACAACTATGCGGGGTTTGCTTCATCATACCTTTCTGGCTATACTGTGCAATCAAATATTTGAGAAAGAACTTCCAGAAAAAGAAATAGGGTCTGGAATGTAGCTCAGTTGCTAAAACATTTGCTTTGATTTCAGAAGTGGAAGCATGTCCCCTACGGACATAAAGAAACAAACTGAGCATTGAAATGTTTTCACATTACAGAAACAAATTTAATGTCTTCTTTACTTGAACTATTGCTACTGTTGTGCTTTGAGGTTTTGATGTCTTTTTGCTAACATACCTTCATAAGAGGAACACAAACAGACGCTGAGATACAGATTGCATTTCTCTTTTTGAAGAAGAAAGGTTGAGGTGATGCTTCCCCTTATCAGACCATTTCTTAACTTGAGAAACCCGAGCATGTGTCTGCACATATCAAGTCTTACACTTTGGCATAAGAAAGTTCATAGAAAAAAAAAATTCAGTTAAATGACTCCGGAAATCTCTGCATGCCAATCTGTCTGGGTTTAGACTTAGTTTCCAGCATTGCATAGGTGGTGTCTTCTCAGACTAAATGTGTCTTCACATCTCTCCAGAAAGTTGAGACTGTGGACTGCAGATGTCTCCTTGCTGAGGGCTGTTTGGCACTGGAAGCGCACTCTGTCAGTGCTTCATAATCTGCACAGGCAGTCAACGAATTGTCAAAAGGATTTGAAATACTGCTCTTAATCTATATGAGCCTTGATTTTTATTTTTTTAATTTTTTTAATCTTGGTACTCTGAGAAACTTTACAACCACTGAAGCTTTTTATGGTGGAGATGGAAAGTGCAAAAGATGTCAGCCCAGAGCTCCATATTCAGCGCTTTCATGCAGGAGACATGATGTTCTTCACGAAGCATCTTGTACAGGGCTATCTTCTTCCAAAACCTTGACACGTTAACATTAAAGGCACACTGCAAAGGTTATTGGTCTTTGATGAGGAGACGAGGGAAAAGCTCGAAAAATCTAAAGTGAATGTTTCTAAATATTGGAAGTATGTACAAAGAAATTATAAACACGCCAGTTACACACACTAAAGCACACAGCTGTAGACAGACATGTACATGCATGTATCTAAACACACAGCCATTATTAAGCATTTATTTATATGTATTTACATGTAGTGTTTGTATAGAATAGTATTTATATAGTTATATTTATATGTAGTATTTATATAGAACAGTAACTGTCTCCTTAGTGAAATCTTTAAAACAGGACCAACGTAAAGGTGGGCCAGTTTCTGTGTTGCTAAACCAGATGGTATCCGTTAAAGGAAGTACTTGGTGAGTTTAAGAATGAAATTAATTCTTTAGCAAGCTTAATAGCAGATAAAGTTTTAAAGGCATATTTTCTAATTTGGTATGTAGCATACACTTCCAACAATTTTTTTGTAGTGTAGGAGCAGAAATTGCAGTGCCCTGACCATGTTTTTAAATGCACCTTTCTTGTTCTTCCCTTTCTTCTGCTTCCAGCTCCAGGAAGAGTCCGTGCAACAGTTCGGTGCCAAGTGACATGAAGAGGCCAGCAGACCTCATCGGTCAGGAAGTGATTTTGGTTTTTTTCCTTCTGCTCCTCCTGGTCTGGTTTCTGAATCGGGAGTTTGAGGTCAGTTACCGCCTCCACTACCATGGGGATGTGGAGGCCGATCTTCATCGCACCAAAATTCAGAGCATGAGGGATCAAGCTGACTGGTTGCTGAGGAATATTATTCCCTATCACGTGGCTGAGCAGTTGAAGGTTTCCCAGAGCTATTCCAAAAACCATGACAGTGGCGGAGTAATCTTTGCCAGTATTGTGAACTTCAGCGAGTTCTACGAAGAGAACTACGAAGGAGGCAAAGAGTGCTACAGAGTCCTGAATGAACTGATTGGGGATTTTGATGAGCTGCTAAGCAAACCACACTACAGCAGCATTGAGAAAATCAAAACAATTGGGGCAACCTACATGGCTGCTTCAGGGCTGAACACATCGCAGTGTCAGGACAACAACCATCCCCATGGACATTTGCAGACCCTTTTTGAATTTGCCAAAGAAATGATGCGAGTGGTGGATGACTTCAACAACAACATGCTGTGGTTTAATTTTAAACTTAGGATTGGCTTTAACCATGGCCCTCTCACTGCTGGGGTCATTGGCACCACCAAGTTGTTGTATGACATTTGGGGTGACACTGTGAACATTGCTAGCAGAATGGACACCACTGGCGTAGAGTGTCGTATACAGGTGAGTGAGGAAAGCTACCGCATCCTGAACAAGATGGGGTATGACTTTGACTATAGGGGGACAGTCAATGTGAAGGGGAAAGGTCAGATGAAGACCTACCTATACCCAAAATGCATGGACAATGGGATCGTGCCACATCACCAGTTGTCTATATCCCCAGACATTCGGGTTCAAGTGGATGGCAGCATTGGGCGATCTCCGACTGACGAGATTGCCAACCTGGTGCCTTCTGTACAGAATTCTGATAAGATAGCCCATGGCACAGATAACTCAGAAACCAAGGACATTCTTCCTTCCTCCAAGAAGCTCCAGAAAGATTCGATGAAAGCAGAAGAGAGGTGCAGGTTTGGCAAAGCTGTAGAGAAGACTGACTGTGAGGAAGCGGGAACTGAGGAGGTCAATGAACTGACAAAGCTAAATATCTCTAAGAGTGTATGATGCACTGTCAGAGTTGCATGAAGTGCTCTGTCAATAGAAACACAAAGACATTTGCAATTGGCAGTTTTCTTTTTCAAGAGAGACCTTCTCAACACCTGGGTTGTACGTTTGTTTTCATTTCAGCGCCTGATGCTGTGTGGATCACAGCTCTTCAGGGCTTGTTTTCATCCATCTCTCTCCTCCATGCCCCAAATCACATCCCAAGCTCCCCAGCTCCCTGTGCAACCATCTTACAGCTGAGTAGAGGATATTAAGTGCCTTCAGATATACTCCATTGGACTCCCTGTCAAGGTACAGAGGCCCCAAGTGAAATCATAGCTTTGGGTATTTATCTAATTTTAAAGAAAAGAAAAGCTGTGGTTATATCATTTTTATTGTTGTTTCTCACAAAACACTTTTTTTGGCTAATGCAACTCCTTGGGTTTTTTATATCTATATGAACAATGTTTTACTGTTATCAGACCTTTTGTATGTAAACACACAGACAAATGTGCATGTATCTACCATATGAGACTGACATAAAGTGCCAGTAACGTACCACAAAAGAATGTCTTGGCAAGGGGGTGACACAATTTTACTTTGTGTTGGGCTGGAGGAGGAGTTCTGCAGTGGCTCAACATTTAGTTAGAGTAGGCTGAACAACTGCTGTAGTTTTATTCTCCTTTACCAATGCTTTCTTCAAACTTAATGTGCCATTGTGTGCTTTGGATACACTTCTTTTCCATATAGCCAATGAGTTACTGATATGTGGGAATGGAATAAGGGTTCGGACTTCACCAGCTCTCAGGACAGGCGTCCAGAAGCAGACAAGCGACCAGAAGAGCGTTACAATTTGGGTTTTGTGTGTCTGAAAGGGTTTTAGGTTGCTCCGCACCCTAGCTGAATTGGCAAAGGTAGGTGAAGTTGGTGTCTCTAAGCTGGTCTGATTTGAGAGAGAGAAAAGTTAAATAAATGTTTTGGAGATGCCGTTATTTATTTATTTATTTTATTTCTATTCTTATTTTGTTTTCATTTTTGTTTTTTTTTTGCGGAAGGGATCAGGAGAGATGAGTCGTTAATTGGTTTAACAAGAGTAGTGGGATAGCGTTTCAGCCTCTTTGGACTACCATCCACTGTGAGGATGTTGTTACCTAGGCAATATTTGTTTCAAAGCTGGTGAAACGTCCGAAGCCACCAAACGCAGTTGGGCATCCCAGCTTCCCTCTGTACTGAACTAATGGTGCTGCACAAGATTTTTTCAGGATTTGCCCCCTACACTGTGCTTTTGCAGCAGGGAAGAGAACAGCATGCTCCCTGCGTGCCACTGAAAGCAGGAATAGGGAAGGAGTCCTTTGTTGCGAGCTGAGAAGCACAACGATTTCCCAGTCCTGCGGGTGACTTTGTGCAGGTCCCCGTGATCGGAGATCTGCTTGCACAGAGGTAACTGCAGGAGTGGGGCCCCAAACGATACCGGTCTGCCCTCTGCATGCTTCCATCACCTCACCCACTTACATCTGATGCCCCACTTTGGATATTATTACCTGTTCAGCTATTGGAGTTTAACAACCTTGCAACACCAAATAAGATTAAAAGAATTTTTGCACCTGAAATAAGTTCTTTAGCCGGGGAAGAGCTGGTGAAATGCAATGCTGTGCTGTCTGCGTATTGGTATGTGTTTTAATGCTTTCTTTCTGTCTGACCTGAACTCAGAATATATTGATGCTTCGTTTTATTCCCAATGCAATTTTTGGAGTTTGAGTAATAAATATACACACCGTGACGTTCCCATTCAGCCATCTGAGATCCATCTACACTCCATGGTGAGCACAGAGCCCTTCAAGCCTTTGTCAAATACAAATCTAGGAGGTTTCTGGATCTCAGTTACCTTAAACAAGACTCTGCACACTGTTCTCACAAAAGCTGCTGTTTATGCGTCTCTAAATTGCATTGGATACAAAAGCTGTTTAAAGTGAATCTTACTCGCTCAATCTCCCAGCACACACAAAAAAAGGGGGTGTTCATCCCTATGCCACAGATGCCGTAGCCTCGTTTGGGGCTATTCCTGACAAGCAACGATAGGAAGTTGTTTTTAGTAGTGCAACGTTTTGCAGCAGCCTGCCTTCCCACTCAATTAGAACCAGTCCCCTTCCCCCGTAGTGGGTTGCACTTCCAACTTTCAGGTAGTATAACTCTGCAAATACCTCTTGCATCCGACGAATGTATTCTTGAAACCATTTCCAGGATTCTCCTTACAGTGAAGTCTATGTCAGTATTTCTTTTCTTACAGTAGGGGAGTTCACGTGGTCCAGAATTGTTTACATGCCTTCTAGTGTTATATTCGGGATCTCGAAGTGGTTCAGCCCTTTTCCCCTTTCCCTTCTTTCTCCCCGTTTTACAGACAGCTCTGCCCAGGGTTCAGTTCCATTTCTCTCTCGCTGACCCCCTGCTTTGTCGGGAGCCCTGTGCGGGGACCCCCTGCCACCAGCCGGGTTTGCACCGCGTGGAGCCTCTGAAATGGGCAACGCTGCCGTGCTGCGGGAGGCTGCTAGCATTCAGATACCAAAAAATGCAATACCACGGGTTCATTATTGTCGGTATTAAGCAAATGAAATGGCAGAGGACAGAAATGGGGTTGGGCTCTGAATCTGGGGGCTGCTGTCTGCTGCAGGCTCTGGCGCGCTGAGTGCAGCGCTGCTGCAGCCTCCGCCGCCTCCTTCGGAGGTCAGCGCCTCGTCGTAGGAACAGGATGGGGAAGCCGAGCTGTCGGTGTGTGCTTTGAACAGCCAGATTTTCACAGGCACAGGGAGACGCTTGCTTTTTGTTGGGAAATGGTGGGGGTTGAACCTTTGCGCCTTCCCTTGACGCCTTTGAAAAGATGTCCCGGTGCTCGCAGAAATTGTTCTGCGGGCGTTTGTAACAGCACCAGGCTGCATCTCGCCGTGCCCTGGAGCTGGCCCTGCCACACGTGTGCTTGTGGGAGGCCTCGAGCAAAGCCGGTGTCATTGAGATGTCCCTCTGCTTGCCCTGCTGGTGCCACCGCCGTTCAGACACGGGGTGGAAGCTGCAGGGACAGAGAGCTGGAGTTGTGTTCTGCATGCAGCCAGCGCGGCGCTCTGCTCTGGTTTTGGGGTGTCTTCGTGCCGATCGTTTCAAAACTACCCAGAGAGGGGGAAAAATTGCTGCGTTTGCTAGGCTGGGGCTGCCTTCAGCTGCAGGTCTCTTGTGGGAGCTGCTCGGGAGCACAGAGTGAGGAGCAGGATGGTGAGCGTGCCCTGCAGCAGCATCTTCATCTGCTGCCAACGCATGGAAATGCTGACTTTCTTGCAGCTGCTTCTGTGAAACGGAATTGATTTCTCATTTAAAAACACGTAAATGGCGTTCCTGTTGATTTACTTCTGGTGTTCATGATATGGAGACAGGACCAGAGCTGCCTGTTGTTTCCTACAGTTTGGTGCCATCCCCTTTGGCTGAACCAAGCAGGCACAGTTGGACTTCGAGGAGACAAAACGGGGGCTGAGAGGATGCCCCCAGCGTGGAGGTGGCACAAACCTCTCCCAGAGCCAGGTCAGCGTTGGCTGGCACCAGGAAAAGGGCAAAAGGTAACTAGTTGGGTACTTCAGGGCTTATAATTGCTGAACTCTAATTTGTTTCTAAACCTTTAATTCTGAATACAACAGCCATGTTTAAAAAAACAAACAAACAAAAAAAAAACAGTTGTAAGGGAGCAGTTGTGCACTTCATGCCTTTACGTTGCAATATCGCAGAGCCTGGGAGTGCCTGAGGTTGGTTATAACCCGGTTGGCTGCATAATTGAGCAACTTGGGGGGGGTTTACCAAATTTAAGGACTGCGTCTGTTTTCTCTCTGCTTTCCTACGGGATTTCTCTGGCACAGTCTGGGTGACCTTGAGTATTAGAGACCGTGCAAAAGCAGAAGTTAATAACTAAAATGAAGTGAGGGGCTGCTGGTGTTGGGTTCAGGGAAGCAGAGCTCAGGAGGACCCTTGTCCCCAAAATGCTCTGGGATGCTGAAAATGGAAGGATGCTTGCAGGGAGCACGTTTTGTTTGTTTGCTAAGCTTCAGGCTTCTTGGTTCGAAGCTGTTCTGTGGGGAGGCGTATTTGGAAAGGAATGTGGCCAAGCAAAAAATGAGAAACTCTGCTTGCTGTCACAGCAGAAAAGAGACACGTGAGCGGGCAGGGGTCCTTGGTGGTGGGGCTGCCTGGTACACGCAGAGGGTGCGGCTTTGCCTTGAAGTCTGGCATTTAGTTATAAAGCACTGTTTATTGATGTGACTTTCCCAGCCGCTGGAGATGTCATGGGGATGGTTTGGCTGGAAACAGAAAGATTTACACACGGAAAGAAGAGCGGTGGATGCTGGAGATGCAGGGGTGCCCCAGCGCTGTCCGGCAACGTGCTGCAGCGCTGCCACCTCGCAGGAGCAGCCACCTCGGCTGGCTCAGTGGGGTGGGAACAACCTGGACTTGAGGCTCGTTGGAACCGAGAGCATCAGCACACAGCGCCTGCAGAATTTTGCCAAGTCCTATAAAAACAAAAATTTGGTACGATAACCGCTGCATGCTGATTCCTGCAGACGTTCTGGCTGTGCCAGTTTTAGTTTGAGGGGGGCAGTGGTCTGGTGACTCAGTCAGGAGCTGTGAAACCATGGACCATTTTCTGCTGAAATGTACCGTATGGGAAACCAGAGAGGCAGGAGGGTCTGCCGGTAGGAGTGCAGGACCCCGTACACCAGTGGATTTTTGTTTTAGTGGATTTTGGTGCTCTGTACGATGACGTTCGTGCTTCCAGCTCAGAATTTGGGGAGCTCAGAGGCCGTGCTGCAGCGATACGTCGATCTTAGGCAGCGTCCTGTGGTTGCAGAAACCGAAACCCTGTTGGCAACACCAGCGATGCAGCCGGTCATTTTCTTGGAGAATCCACCTACTCCTCCTCCCGTCCTTTAACCGAACGGGCAGGATCAAGAAGAAAATGACCTGGACCCCCAGACCCTTACCGCTGTCGCCAGAGCTGTAAAATCCCTTTGGTAGTTTCCAGGTTGCTTTTGGTGTCCTTGGTGCCCACGGGGGAGAGCAGCAGGGGGCAGCGGTCGGACGCATGGACAGGACTCGGCAGCATTCCCCGTGACACCCCTGGCAGGTGACAGAGCTCTGCAGGGTCTAGAGGTGAGTGCCTCTGTCCCCTGCAGCAGGGAGTCACCCACAGCGATCACCCGCTGCTTCTGGGTGCTCCCGCATGGCACAGGGTCCCACAGCTCAGTTTTTCACATGAAGCCATGCCCAGCTCCTCAGCTCGGGGGGCACTAAGCCCATTTGCCAACTTCAGGAGGAGCGAGAGCCTTTCTCTAATGAGGAGCGACCAACTTGCAGCCTTCACCTGCTACAGACTCATGATTTATGGTTTCACGTGGCACGGAGCTCCCCTACATCTCCACTGCAGCAGGGGGCTGAGACTCCTGAAGCCATCCATGGGGTCTCTGGGGACATCCCCTCTCTTCGTGCTCATCCTCACGGGTGCTGTGCAGCCCCCTTGCATCCTGGTGGAGAAATTTGGGGTAAGCAAACAGTGCTGCACAAGGCACCGAGCACGCTGATATCACAGAATCCCAGGGTCATCAAGGTTGGGAAAGATCTTCAGGATCTCCAAGTCCAACCAGCAGCCTGGCCTCCCAATCCTCTGCTACGCCACGTCCTGCAGGGATGGGGACTGGGCAGCTCAGCTGGAGCACGGGGAGGTTTGGGGTTTCTGTGTTAGGATGAGGGAGCCTGAAAACGGCCGCAGTTTGTGAAGCTGCTGTAATGCCACCCTCTGAACTCTGTCCTCTGAGCAACGCGGCGGGTTTTGTCAGCAGCCGTCAGGCACCCAGGAGCTTGCTGGCTTTGTCTTTAAATTAGAGTTCATAAAAAATCAAATGTCAGACTCTGAATAGGCTCAAGCAGTAACTAAAATCACTGCGGAATCTGATTTGTGTTACCAGTGGCTCAGCTGGAGCCTTGCTGGGGGGTTAGGGGTGCTGAGTGAAGCTCTGTGGAGTAACACCAGTGTGGGTTTTCTGCAGAAAACCCTTTTTAAGCCTTGAGCAGAGGAGCTAAACTTTTGTCTTCAGCTGAGGAAACTGGCTATACAGCTTAGAGAAATGTTTCCTTTTTACATTCAAGAGGCAGTATTAGATTTTAAGATTATTTGGGGAAAACAAAAACAGGTGGGTAGAAGACATTCAAAGCTTTTTTCCCTGGTTCTTTAGTGCAGCTGCTGTCCATTAGTTGGCCGGGAGAGGTGCAGGGGCACGAGCTGTCCCACCTGCAGCACGTCGGGGGGCACGGGGAGCCGCTGCTCCGCATGCGTGTCGTGGGGCTGGATGCTGGTGCAGGGGGAGCAGTCGCTTGTTTTATTGTTCTGGAAGGGCCCCGAGGCTGCTGCATCGGCTTCTCACCTTGTAGCCCTCGGTCTTACTTTGTACATGTTTTACTCTGTTCTTGCACTGGTCTTTGGCTCGCTGTAGCAGCGCGTATTGTAATCTCTAGATGTTGCAGCATTCGCTGAATCTGAAGAACTGCAAAGAAGGCAGTGGCTGGGACCAGCTTCTAAAATGTCAAGTTTCAGCTCTTTGACCGGTGCTGCCCTCGCCAAGCTCATCATCCGTGGTCGCTTGAGCCGCTGTGTACCCGAGGTACCCGGCCAGGCTCTGGGTTGCTCCGCAGCTTGTGTGGTTTTGAGCTTTCCGAGGATGTTAATGCACTCGTGTCAAAGTGATTTTCTCAATTTTTACTCTTTTCTCCCTTACTTACTAACGAGTTCGCCTGTTTGTAAATTCATGCACTGGCTGAATATTAGCGCGCGATTCAGAGATGGTTTGTATGCTTTGGTTGTGGCTCAGGGCAGGAAGAAATGCAGCGATGAACCAGGGGGAGGGTGTGCAGCAGGAAGGCGCCTGCCTCTTCAGCATCCTTGACTCTTTGCCTTGATTCCAGCAGGAGCAGCGTTTCGTTTGGGGTTTATCTGAGAGGTGAGCTGGGTACCTCTGTCTCGCTGGTGCCCCCAGGAGCATCCCAGGGAGGGTTTTGGTGGTATCGCAGCACTTTGCTGGGCACCGGGGTTGCCTCTGGGCTGGCTCTGGCACCTGCGGCGGTTTTCTCCATGCGTAGAGGTTTGGGACTCCCCCCCCACCAGAGTGCCCTTCCCAGATTTCATTTGTCACCCCCAGTTTTCTGAGGCCGTGCTGAGATACACATGCGCATGCGTGTACGTGCCGAGACGGAGACTTGTTGCACCCTCCTGCGAGTACAGCTTCCAACTTCCAAAGTAATAAACTCCTTAAAGCCAAGAGCCTTAACGACTCCCACCGCCTGCTGAGAGACAAAGCACAGGTTCAGGTTTGTGCCGAATACTTAGGAATTTTTAGCCATGGATGTCTCCTGTCCGTGAGGAGGTAACAGGAGCATCCAGAGACGCGAAGGACCTTGGCGGCGCTCGCCGAATCCACCAGGAACGCGTAGAAAGGCTCCCCCGGTGCTCTCAGGAAAGCCGCCTCGCTCCCGCAGGGCTTGCATTTCTCATAACAGCTCCGTCTTTCTGTGAAATGCTGCTTTTAACCTGGCGTCAAAGCTTTCTGGTGGTGGTGGGGCTGGCCACCTCCTTGCCCGTTCGGCCCCGCCACGGGGCAACACCACGGTGTCGGTGCCGGAGCCGTGGTGGGGTTTGGCCAGGTGGAAGCGAGGAACCCAGATCCGGCAGGGCCGCTGCCTCGACGTGGTACGGAGACTTCAGCGCCGCCCGTCCTTGCCTAAGCACACGTGGAGATTGTATGGAAAGTGTTAAACGTTCATTGAGAACAGTTTCCAGTTCAGGAAAAAAAGAAAAAAAAAAAAAAGGCAAATGAAAACATTTTAAAGTATCCAGGTTAGCTGGAAATTGTTTCTTCATGACGTCTTTGTTTTCTTTCTCTTCCCATCCTAGCAAGGGCCGTGCTCACACTACCTTCTCCCCTCCCTTTCTGCAGAACCACAGAGCCGCGCTGTTTACAAGCGCCCTGCGGGGAAGCTCGGCGCTTCTGCCGGGGCGCTGTGCTGGGGGACGGGGCTTCCGCGCAGCGGCTTCACTGTAAATACTCTGCATACGCTTCGTTGACAAAGCAGAAATGGAGAAAAGTTGTATCTGTGAAATATTAAGCTATATCTGTATATAGATAAACCGCGTATTATCTCTGACTCGTTACTACGGATCTGTAATCAATTGTATATTAAACTGTTTCGCTGTACCGCAGATCATTTCACGCTATCTTAGATGTAGACAAGCTGAGAACGTAACTCACAATACACTATGTCAACTTAAAATTTGTTTGCTTTTTTATTTTTGCTTCAGCACAACTTCAGATGCAATCTCGTGCCATTTGCACATTGTTTCAAAGTATCATAGTTTGGAACAGCAGCTTTTTTGAGCCCTTTGTTTTGGATCTGGCATCTTGCAATGTTTCTTTGATAAATCATGAAGCCACCGAGTTAATTTTTGATTAGGTGCATATTTAGACGGCGTTTTGAATGCTGAAGGAATTTGTCACGTAGCCCAGAGCACAGGCCCGCTGCACTTTGGTGCGTTGCTCGGCACCGTGCCCCCAGCAGTGGCTCAGGAGCAGGATCAGGAGCAGGATCCCCCCGCTTCGTCCTCGTCTCAGCGCTGCTCCAGGGCCTCGGCCACGTCTCTGCGGCGGGGACAGCCCAGGGCTCGGTGTGCCGGGGAGCTCGTCGCGGTTGAAGTTGGGCATGGATTTAAGACAGACGGTTTTTCTTTAGCAAACAGCCTGGATGGTTTATTCTGCAAATTATTTTGATCTGCTTTAACAGTGGAGCAGGACGTTGTTATTCCGGAGCAAGAGTCCGCAGGACAAGAAGTCACTTTTCCCAGGAGTGGGTGTCTCTGAAGACGAGCCTTGACGTTTCTGAGATGCGAGTCCGGCCGGCAGAAAGAGGTGACCGTGTTGTGCTGGGCTGCCATGGGCAGTGGAGTCTGTGTGCGCCTCCCTTGAAGCATCCCATTGTGTTTTCACTGGGTGTCATGGGGAGACAAACTTGTTGGAGGACCGTCCTGAGCCCTGGCAAAGCAAGGCCTTGAGCTGGAAGATCTGAAGGCTGCCTCTGGGTCCGTGCTCACCCGCTGTGCCGGCGAGCTCAGGTGCCCACGGTCACCGTGTCCATCACCACCGAACCCTTCCCTGCCTCCAGGCGCTGAGGCACGGGGCTGTGCTGAGCCTCTCGTGGGGTTCAGCCAGACGCCGTGTTCAGGAGCCTCGGGTTCCCTTTCCTCCGCTGCCCATCGGGCTGCAGCAGCATCACACCACGAGCTTTGTCCCGGAACCACGGCGAGGTGAAATTTGTTCCCCCTGAGGGTGTTGATTTATTGCTTTCCCCCCGTATTTTAAATACATTTTCTTTCTGAAGACGAGGTAAGTATCGGAGCACACGTCATGCGCGTGGTGCCACTCGCTCTGCAGCCAGTAGCCAGCGGCTGCACCACGTCACTCGATGGCAACCCGGGGTTTTGTGCCAATGTGCAAATTTAGGCGATGCTCGAGTGTGCCTGGGTGTTGGCCTTCTGTTGTAGGTGAAAACTGTTCCAATGTTATCCAGTGGGTTTTCTATTGTAGGTCATGGTGATTGTGAACTGCCAAGGGATATTTTTTAATAAATCTTATAAAGGCATTTCAAATAAATCCAGCCCTTCTGTTTTCCTTTTCAGTTCTGTGTTGTCTTCTCCCAAAGCTCCCCCATTTTTCAGTTTCCTGTCTTTCTCTGTTCAGGTCGCAGTGAAGGATGTGTTAGATGTATTTAAAGATACTGGCTTGGTGTGTGCTTAGCTTAGTAGGGGACTTTGGGAAGTGAGAAAAGCCCCAAAATCTCCAGGGCCTGCGTTTCGTTGCTGTTCCCAGGGGATCGTGGCAGGGGTGATGCCATGTCCTTGGGACATCGCCTTACGGGGGTCTCGCACCCCAGTAATGCCAGGAGCACAGGAAGCTCTGCAGCAGCCGGCTTCATGCATCAGGATCCCCCAGACACCTGGAACGTGAGTACTGGCTCGCTCCTTGCTCCCAGCAGTGTGGTGTGGAGGTCCCAGGCCGGCGTGCACTGCCCAGCCGTGCTGCTCTAGGGCTCGGCTGTTCTGGAGGAGCCGCTGTCGCCTCTGGGGTAATGAAGAGATGCAGAAGCCCGAGCTGCCCCAGCGCTCGGTGCCGTGGCACCCAGAGCAGTCCCACCTCGTGGGGTGGCTGGCTGCCTGCTGAGCCCGCCTGGCCTTCCTCTTGCCACCAGAGGTGCTGCTCAACCTTCTGCGAGGTGAGAACCTGAGTGCATCCTGCCCGGGAGGGAGCAGGGACGTGGGTGCCCTCCAGCTCCAGCAGCGTGGAAGGTGGTCGGGGAGTGGCAATGCTGCCGCTGCCCCGAGCTGGGCTCCTCACCCCGGGAACTGGTTTTGATTTCCATGGTGCTAAAGAATCTTTTCCTCCATCTCTCAGGGGCCAAATCTGTCTTCGGAGCAATATTTCATTCCCCGCTCTCCCTGGTTTCATAACGTTTAGTCCAGCCAAAGGCCCGTAAGCGATTTGTGTTCAATTAACGTTGCCACTTAAGCACCCGCTCGTTGCGTCGCTCGGCGTGGGTTCGCCACATCACTTGGGGGAGCGGGGACCTGCCAAGGATGCGCTCGGCCGCTGCGCAGCCCCTGGGGCCGGGCGGCTCGGGAATGCAGCAGGCTTTTGTTCTCACTTGTTAATCATTGTTTTGCTGTTGGTAACTGAGCTTTGTCGCTTTGTGGTGTCGAGCAGCAATTCTCATTTCACAGCTTTGCGGAGTTTATGGGAATTTAAGAGCTGGATGCAAATGAACTTCATTAATGTGCTTAATTATCTTATAAACCTCATATCCATCTGTCCTGCATATGCTTTGTACTCGAAGCTTTAAGGCAAGCATCCACATCAGCGTGGCACGAGGCGGCTCTGAGCAGGAGCCCTTGGCGAGCACCAGGCTGCGCGTGCGGCATTACCTGTGGGATGGTTTGCTAAGAGCAAAACATAGAATATAAAATGAAGAACATGGAAACTTCTCCGAGGTGTCCAAACTCCAGCCCCCACACCAGGGGGAATCCTGAAGCTTCAACACCTCAATGATGTGCGTGGTTTTCAGCAGAAAGCTATTTTGTGTGTTTACAAAGGTGCTGCTGTAGCAGTACTCCAGCGGCCGTGGCTGTAACCGCGATGGGAGCCATCCCTCCATCCATCCATCCGTCCATCCATCCGTCTCAGCGGCGGATCCCGAGGTTGCTGCTGGTGCTAGGAGCAAAGTCACGGGCAGGGCCACTCAGGAGCCCACTGGGGCCTTCTCCAGCAGCGCCTCCAGGTCTGGCCCCTGGCCGTGCAGGCTGCGCTCCAGCCCACTGGCAGGAACTTGGAGCACCGGAGCCTTGCCCAGTGGTCGGCTCCTCGCCCGTGTGGACACCACCACCCAATGCCACCAAGTCAGTAAGTTTATAACCTGCCCCGTGCTGGCTCCTCTCGGCGAGGCATGCCCTCACTCCTGCCATCGCCTCCTTCCCTGTACGAGCATTTCGCCATGGGAGAGGAGCACTGCGCTCCCAGCACCAGGTGCCACGAGCAGAATCGCGGAGGATGCTGCAAATTAATTGCATTATAGTAAATAATTATAATAATTTAATTTAGATAATAATTTAACTCCATTCAAGCATAGCGTAAAAAGGAGCCTTTTCTTCCAGGCTGCCTCATGAAGCCGCAGACCTGCTGGACAGGAGGCGGTGCTGGTGCCCGTGGTGCTGGGGCTGTGCCGGGGCCGAGGTGCAGGGAGCGGTCCCGGGGAGCCGGAGATGCTGCAGTTGGGTGCTGGGCGCGGGGAGCGTCTTGGCTGGGAAACACCAGCAGGGCTCGGTGCGGATCTGCAGCTCTTGCCCTGGCAGCAGCAGCCCCGGGGCTGTGCAGCTCTGAGGCCGGCGTCCCGTGGACACGGCGGTAAGCAGCGACTGGGAACGGGGAGCCGCCACGCATAGCAAAGTGCTGACGGGGAGCTCGTTCCCTCCTTTCACTCTTGCCAGCTCACATCATGGCAGAGACACCTTGTTCCCGGAGGGGCTCGGATAACACCCCGTCCCCAGAGCCCTCTGCCTTGCTCCCTTTTTGCATCCAGCCTCCCTGGGCCAGTGCCAACGTCCCTATCAAATTACCGGCCACCCTAGCTCCCCTTTTTTCCTCCAGCACAGCCAGACACTCAGCTTTGGAGATGATATTGAAGAATTGTCGTCATCTGGAGCTCTAAAAACTTGTAAACCTTAGCGAGGGATGGCGATGCTGCGTGCCGAGGGGTTCCACAGCCAATGCTTGTGCTGGGGACACACCAAAACCTCCGGTCCCTCAGCACGACTTGAGCTGTGGCTGCACAGTGGGCAACACTGCTGAGGTGTGGCCCAACACCTCCAGAAAGGCTGGAGCATTGGGGTTGGCATCCTCCAGCTCCCCTCCGGCACCAGGACACTTACCGACATCGCGTGTGGTTGTAGCTCCGGAGCCTGCGTTAGGTGAGGCTGTGTGCCCATGGGGCTCTGAATCCCCCTCCTGGAAAAGGAGAAAAGTTTTCTCTTTTCTTTTGCAATCCTTAGAAAATATGAGCAAAATACGTGTTTCTAGTGCTGCTGCTGTCCCATGGAGCTCCTGTCATGGGGCAGCTCCTGCTGGTCCTGCTCGCAGGGAGCCCTGGAGGTGCCCGGTGCGGTGGTGCTGCAGCAGATGCGTGGGCTGAGTTCCCAGGTGAGGTTTGCAGCAACCCCCTCTGCTTCCCTACCAGCACACCTCTGTCCCTGCTGGGCCCTGCTCGGTGTGCCGGGCGCTGTTTTTCCTTCTGGGGTTAGTTTTGCGTGCCCCTGTGCTACCTGCAGCCAGCACGCCCGCTGCAAGTCCATGTAAAAGCCAGGAAGC